TCCCAGGTCTGTCACTCTGTGAGCATCTTCCTACATGCAAACAGGCATGACAGCTAGACCTTCATAAAGCCCAGTGCTAAGGTCCTGGTGTGCTGGGAATGCAGACTTGATCACAGCTTAGTTACTGGCAAGGCACTGCCTGACCAGAGAGGAGACCCCTAGTTGACCTTGCTTCCCCCAGGCAATGTGTCTGACTTTGCAGGAAACCCTGCCCTACCATTAGCCAGCATGGCCCTCCCAGTGGCAGTCTCTTGTAATTTCAGACAGTTCCCAGAAGAGTGTGGGGGAAGGGTGGGTGCCCCACGTGGAGCTCTTGGGTTCCCAGAGGCTGGGAGGCTGGCTGAGCCAGGGCCCATTCCATGGTAGAGTGGAGCTGTGACCACTTAAGTGCTTAACTGTGGGCTTCAGCTGCTACCTCTTCCTCCCATCATTCCATACATGTTCTCTGGGAACTAGAAGGTTTCCAAACCCTTGAGAGATGTGCAAGAGAGAAACTGAAAAGAGACTGGCAGAAAGCAGGATGAAGCGGAAGCTTCCAGGACCAGCACTGGAACTCTGCAGCCCTTGAGAATGTAGGTGAAGGGTAGACAGTGGCTGCAGGCCTGAGGAGCTGGGGGGAGAAGGCTTGGCATGCCTTGGAGCCATGAAGAACACCTGTCTCTTGCTTTCTTCAGAATGAGCACGCTCTGGGTTTGACTGCCTAGAAAACTGGGTGACAAAAGGAGTAGGGACTATAAATGTAGGAAGCTCTGGAGTTAGATGGAGAATTAGTGGTTGGACGTGGCTATTTGACCTCTCCACACCCCATCTCTACTGTGCATGAGCTGTGAGGGAGTAGGATTTAGTTGACTTGGGGCTTGATTGCCATCCTAACATAAAGCCAGTAACTCTGGGGTATCCATGGGTCTCTAGGCCCTCTATACTGGCATCTTCCAGTTCCTTGCTCAGTCTGGGTATAGATACCAAGTGATCACAATATCTGCTTGAGCTTTGTGGGAAAGAGAAGCCAAACTCTTAGATGCAGTTTTCCTATCTAGAAGATACAGAGAGGACTCCCCAGATAGCCTCTTGGAGCTTTGTGTTGTCTGGTGGGTGAGATGACACCCTCTTACTTCCTTTTCATGGGGTGGGCGGGAATGCAGGGTTGATGCTGATATGTACCTATATTTATGTGACTATAGCTAGAGGGCAGTTCCAAGGACAGTGGTGGTCCACCTAGGAGTCCTCAGCCTGCTACCAGCCCAGTACCTTCAGAGACTTCCCACAGAACCAAGAGCCCTGCACCCTCACTCGCCATGAATGGTCTGGGGGCTGCCTCAACAGAGGGCCCTAACGAGGAGACTCAGGGCCTGTCCCGGAAACGAGTGGCGAATGCGGTGAGGAAGGTGGTGAGCAAGGTGCTGCCTGGTGAGGAGCCTGTGAGTTCCAAGGAGCCTCCAGGCCGAGGGACCAAGTCCCCTGAGCACCCAGCTAGAGGCAAGAAGGGAGAAAAGGCAGCCTCTAGTCCCAAGCCACCACCGCCTCCTCCACCTCCTCCTCCCCCTACTCCACCAAAGCCTGAAGCAAAGAAGGAGGCAGCTAAGGATGAGCTCTCAGCAGGCCTGCGGGGCCTGATGTCTCGGGGCCGAGGCAAGGACCACAAGCCCCGTAGCAAGCAGTCTCCCGGGAAGGGGGAGAAGCCCTCCAGCCAGGAGCCAGGCTCCTTGGGGAAACCAGGCTCCCCATACCTCATGGACTCCCCAGAGAAGGCAGCCAAGCCTGAAACCCCAGAGAAGCAGTGTTCCCCGGCCCCGCCAAGAGAGGTGGCGGACCCAGGCTCTGTTGGCCCGAAGTCAAACCTCACAGGAGAGCAGCAGTCCAAGTCACCAGGCTCTGGTGTGCAGCAGGAGGTACTTGAGTGTGACACTAACCTCCTATGCCCCTTGCCACTCTCGCCTGAGGGTCAGCTACCCTCACATCCAGCTTCCGCAAGCCTCACGACATCCCACATGACAGATGCTGGCCCAGGGTCATGCGTCCATGGCAGGGGCTGCATGGCTGTGTGGCTTTCCTTAACTGAATGCCAGAACCCTGGGTTGGGTCTGGGCTCTGTCCCTGTGGCTGGAATGGGATCTGCTAACCAGCATGCATGCTGTGGCCTTGCCATGGGAGTTGGGCCTGGTCCCCAGCTACATGGTGCCAGCTTGAGGCCCCAGATCTCAAACTGAGGGTCAGATTCTTAGCAGATCAGTGCCTCATAAAAACACAGTATTTTCTCAAGTCAGCTTACACTCCCAGCCATTTGTCCTCATTGGACCATCTCTTAGCCTCTGTCAAGTGGGGTAATTCAGGTCCACAATCCCTTCTCCAAAGCCCTGGGAGCCAGAAGTATTTTGGCTATTAGTAAATTTTATATTTTACCGTGTCATACAGTATACATAATAAGCAGCAAACATTTAGCTGTTCCCAGAGCAAATCCATGAATATCTATACTGAGGGAGAATAGAAGATCAACAGGTTTTACCATCAAAATAGTTGAGGAAAATCTTCAGTTTTGTGGATTTTGGAATTACAAATAAAGGGTAATGCTTTGAAGGACTGCTGTGAAGATTAGAAATGATGCAGGTAATGTGCCAAGCCAGGTCCTTAGCATGGAGGATCCATAAATGGTAGTGTAGACAGTGATGCTAATGATAGTTGTTATTAATGTCATCTCTGCCTTCTTCAGACCTTGCCTCACATCCCCACTGGCATCAGGACCCTGAAGGAGCCCTATGCCTGGGCGGCAAATGGGCAGAGTAAGCTCTTTGGGTCTGGGGCTACTCCATCTTCCCAGAAAGTGTCCTCTGGGTGGGAGACTGAGAGGCAGGGGGAAGACTAAGGATGACCACTCCAGCCCTTCCCTGAGGAAGGTGGTGGCTGCTTGGCTGGTCCTTGAGTTGGAGACCATTCTTTTTAAGGTTCTTCATTTTCTAGACCCTGCTGAGGTTTCTGGGGTATGTAAGGAGTGGGGAGACATCAGGTTTTTCCTTCACTTCCTGTGCTTTCATAGGCTCTATGTAGCTAGAAAGAGAGGGGCCAGGAGGATGCTAGGGACAGAGCCTGAGGGTCCTGGAGGCCCTTGCTCTCTGTTTACTTCTGGGAGCCAGGGTTCTGGAAGGTGCCTCGCTCTCCATTCTCCCTGGGCACTGCAGTACTTAGAAAAAAGGCCAGTTACAGCTCTCCCCACCCTCCTGGCCTGCTCTATGGTGATTCCTGGCATACAGGGAGGGGTTGGCAGGAGCATTCTGGCTTAATGGGCAGGGCAGGAGCTCAACTTCAGTCCTTTGGGAGCACCTATAAGTAGCCAGGAATATCACGTGCCTGTCCTGAGCTACTGCCCTCCCCTCTTACTAGGGTGGAGTTGGGGCTTAAGACATGTCCTGACCAGGACAGTGGACACCTGTTACCTTGGTCTGGGACATAGGCCAGAAGGACAAATGGCATAATAGGGCCATTTGGTGCTTGTAATGGTTAGGATGGTAGGGAAAAAAACCCAGCTCTCCCAGGCACTTGTTCTTTTATTCTCATCTGCTGGTTTAAAAACTCAAATTGGCACCTAGCTTGTTTCCCTGGCCCTCCTCTACTTTCCCATCGGGTCCCAGTGGCTTTCTGGGCTGGGAGCTTGGCATGTGTTGACTCCGCTGTTCCCTGGGCCAGGACTAATAGTGGTTTAACCTTTAGACAGGAACCGCCCCTGAGGTCCAGCTGAGCCCTGCGGAGGAAGCCCACCAGCGGCTTGAGAGGATCTTCACTGCTTCTGTAATGCCACCTCTCTTGTGTGTGGGCCCCCAGTCCCTGGCCCTCCTCTTTCTGAGGCTGGCAGCCAGATTGTTTGTGTGTAGGAGTGCCTGACTACGGAAAGGAGACTCCATGGTGGTCCATAGACCCTCACACTGGCTCTCTGCTTAAAGAAATGAGACAAGGGCTCTATGGAGAATTGTCCCTCTAGGGACAATTGTACATATGGGAAGGGGCCCTTTTTGGCTGAGAGTACAGTTCCCTTCTCTGGCCCTGTTCTCCTGTCTTGGCGAAATGCCTTGGTGCCAGGGCCTGGTGGGTAGCAAAGGTGGAGAGTCTGGCATGTTCTCCATTTTTGATTCCCTAGTTCGACATACCCGGTGGGGGGGGGGTCTCTTTAACTCTTACCCATTTCTAACAGGCTACATCCCAGGCTGGCTGTCTTCCTTTCATGTCAGAAAGGCCTTTGAGGGCTTTAAGTAACAAGACAGAGACAGAAAGGACAAGGCTGTCCCTAGAGTCTGCCCACAGTGTTCTGGCTCTTAGGCAGGTGGCTGATGGCCTCTAGATTAGACCTGTATAGAGTGATCCTCCACTTGTCATGGGGTCAGTTTGCCTGCCTGGGAGTAGCAGGAGTGGTACAGAGGGCTTGAGGAAGGGGCCCTAGAATTGAGCTAGTGGTGGCCTGGTTCTGGATATAGTAGTGACAGCCCTCACATGGGGAGTAGCACCCCCTTAGGTGTGTGTTTCCAGGTGAGGGGACAACTCTGTGCTGATTGGTGGCCATAGAGGAGCTGGGCTGAGGAATGCCCTAAAGATAAGGTGGGAGGCTTCCAAGGGGCCCAGAATCTGGGTTGGGTGAGATGGCCTGACCTGGCAGATACACAGAAAAGGGAGCCTAATTCAGGCTGGTTGGATGGCCAACCCAGGAGAAATTGGCCAAAGGCAGAGTGGCAGACTCCTGCCCAGCCATGGGGACTGTCTCACATGAATCTCTCCTCTGAGGGGTCTGATGATAACAACTGTCTCTTTACTTTCCTGGTCTGGCCTCTCCTGGACTGTGCAGTTCTTCTGCCCAGGCCACCTTCTGAGTCCTGGTGACATGCTCCCCTGACAGTCACTGTATCTTGGCAGCTGGAGACTGCTAGTCTATTGGCCCACAGGTCTTGCTAAGGGGACATGCCAGTGGTCTGCTTGTCTTCACCCTTCTTTTCTCTCTCTTTTATGCTTGCTGCCGCTAGCTGGACCCTGAAGCTGCCTCTCCTGCCCACAGCCAGGTAGGGTGCTCCTATCCCCCTCAGAAGTTCTCCGCGTCCTCCAGTGATCACCTACCACCTCTGGCCTGTGCCTGGGCTGGCGTCTGTGCTCGGGCCTCATGCTGGAGCGTAAGGCCTCTTTCCCCTCCAGGCTCCCACCCTGTGTTGGGGTCAGGGGTTGCCCCTGGGGAGGCAGTGCCAGGAGCAGAGATGGCATAGCTCTGCACTAGACCCTTGGGGTGCATCACTGAATGTTTGGCCTCTGTGGCACACAATCTTTAACCATTGGAGCCCAAGGCCAGTTGAATTTTATGTATTTTAACCCACTCCCTGGTTAGAGTCAAAAAATCTGATTCTCTCTCTCCCTGGCTGGCACCTGAAGATGAGACAGCCTTTGTCTCCACCTCCTGGCCAATATGAGATCAGCTCTGAAAGAGTGAGTGACAGGTGGTGGCCTTTGGATGTCCTCCTCTACACCTGGCCTATAGAACATGCCTATTCAAGACAAAGGTTTCACCTGTCTCACGTGATATGGAAAAAAAACAAACATTGTAGTGATTTTTAAAATAAATTTGTTTATCTTAAAATATTAAAAATAGCCTTTTAAAATGCCCTCACTTTAACAAATCAAAACACTGGCAACCTCATAGCGATTATCCTATTAAAGGATAATTCCCCTGGTCCAGTCCTCTTCATAGCTGGGGAAAGGGCCATCTGCACCAGAGGGGTTTATCAGTAGGACCCAGATCTCCTTTTCTTTCAACTCTAAGAAATGTGACAAAGAACATAAGTCCCTCTTGTTATGTATTCTTATCTTTTCCTGATCCCCCACCCAGGAAATCATTATCACAAAGTACTGTCTATGCCTCATTCTTGGGTCTCATAAGGAATATGAGACTTCTAGAGTGAGAGTCTTTTTGGTGACTAATTGTTCTTCCTAGCCAGTGCTCCCCAAAGGGCTGACCCTAAGGGTGGCTAGCCCTGTTGTAGGGGCCACTTAGTGACTTGGCTGCCATTTTGTCTACACATGACAAAAGAACCTGACAGGCTGTGGCCCCTGCACTCCTTTCCTGTTATCCCTGCTCCCCCAGGCACCATTGCTTCCAAACTCAGATGTACTTCTTAGGAGACACCAGGTTTGATTGCCTATATCCTAACAGTGCCTATGAATGCCTGTTTCTTGTTGGTGACCATTTTGGGCCACCTTGGGCACCCAGCCCCTTCGCACCCATTCCTGTGTCCACCTGTGTGGCATGGGAGTGCCTTCCTGAGTTAGATGAAGAAGTGCCATGCCGCCTACCCCTATTTCTGGTCAAGCTGCCTTATGCCCTTGTGGCGCATTAATGTGTTGACTAGATCTGTCAACTGCTGCCTTCCGAGCAGGGGACTTTGCTGACCATAACAAGGAGGAGGAACAGAGAGACTGGCATGTACCCCCCGGGGCACTGTCCCCTTGCCCAGATAGTAGCATCCTCAGGTCTGAGGCCAGAGCTCAGGACCCACCTACATTCTGTACTATAAAGTCCTAGGAGGACACTTTTTTTTTTTTCCCCCAGGCCTGGAGAAATGGCCTTTCTTAGCATGGTGAAAGAGGCCTCTCACTTGGCTTGGCTTGGATGTGGCCCAAAGTTTAGGTCTTGGACTCAGGATACTGATTTCACAGGCTTGGCAGGGAGGAGGGGCAGAGGGCGGCTGCTTTCCTGGGCATTCCCTTTGTGCCCTGTACTTCCACATCCTCAGTGCTGGTATGGTCCCTAGCTTTGACGTCCTTATCCTTAAGGTTCCTCAGATCCACCACAAACTGGCTTCCCCATCCTCCTTCTCTGACACCTTTGATGTCCCTTTATTCTGCATCTGCCACCTAACTTTTCTCCTTGCCCAGTGGCTCATCTCGAAGCCCTTTCCCTTACTTGCCTCCCCTCTCCTGTTGTCCTTGCCTGTCTTCCAGAGCAGGGTCTGACTATTTGTTCTTCCCCTCCCTCTGATAGGCCAAAACAGAAGAGCAGATTGCAGCTGAGGAAGCCTGGTATGAGACAGAGAAGGTGTGGCTGGTCCATAAGGATGGCTTCTCTCTGGGTGAGTCTCAAGAGGTTGGGTACAGATCTGGGACTCTTTGGGCTTAGGGCTGGAAGCAGGTATATCTCTGGGTCTGGTAAGGGCTGGGGGGCAGGGGTGAGCAAGGAGAGGCTAATGACCCAAGGGGAGGAGGGGAGGACCTAGAAGAAGCCAAATAGGGTAGCAGAAGCTTCCCAGGCCCATGATCAACTGTCTGTGCCTTTTCTGCAGCCAGTCAGCTCAAGTCGGAGGAGCTCAGTTTACCTGAGGGGAAGGTGCGTGTGAAGCTAGACCATGATGGAGCCATCCTGGATGTGGATGAGGATGACGTAGAGAAGGTTTGAAGGAGGGAACAGGAGGGAAGGCAATGGGCAGGACAGGACAGGCCTGTCCTTTATGGTGGAGCCAGGATTTGCTTCTTCATTGCCCACCTGTCTATCCTGTTCCATGCAGGCTAATGCTCCCTCCTGCGACCGTCTGGAAGATCTGGCCTCGCTGGTGTACCTCAACGAGTCTAGCGTCCTACACACGCTGCGCCAGCGCTATGGCGCTAGCCTGCTGCACACCTATGCTGGCCCCAGCCTGCTGGTTCTCAGCCCCCGTGGGGCTCCTGCCGTATACTCAGAGAAGGTGCCACTCCTTCCAGGCTACTGTGCTGACTTGTGGACCTACTCACCCATCATCCACTCCACTTCCCCTTGCTCTCTGCCCTATCCCTTTAGTGTCCACTGGGCTCCTGTCCACTCATGGTTGACCTTGGGAAGAGGAGTTATTTCAAAGGGTGGGGCAGAAGGATCTCCTGCAGACTTTAATGCAGTCTAGGACTTGACTAGTATCTACATTTCCATGCATACCCTTGGCCTCACAGTCCCTGGGTACCCCTGGAGTGAAAATTCAGAAAAAATGTAGACCTGGGGGTGAGGGGTGTCCAGGTGGAACCAGCTAAGAGCCTACCCCTTCCCTCCATATTTCTCCTTATCAAGGTGATGCACATGTTCAAGGGGTGCCGGCGGGAGGACATGGCACCCCACATCTATGCTGTGGCCCAGACAGCATACAGGGCAATGCTGATGAGCCGTCAGGACCAGTCTATCATCCTCCTGGGCAGCAGTGGCAGTGGCAAGACCACCAGCTGCCAGCACCTGGTGCAGTACCTAGCCACCATCACAGGCACCAGCGGGAACAGGGTGTTTTCCGGTGAGGCAGGAACAGCTGGGAAAGCAGAATGGATGAGGAGGGGGGTCAGGAGGGAGGATACTCCTAAGTTGCAGCTCTTTTTCTCCCTGGCTTCTCTATCCCCTTGAAACCCTTCTGTCCCTGGGCAGTTCTGGTCTGAGTAGCCCCAAGCCTTCATGCCTCTGGAGCCCACAGCTGGGGGAAAGCTGTCCCTGGCTTTCCTGATGTCCCCTGGGCCTGTGTTCTGCAGTTGAGAAGTGGCAGGCCCTATACACCCTCCTGGAAGCCTTTGGGAACAGCCCCACCATCATGAATGGCAATGCCACCCGCTTCTCCCAGATCCTCTCCCTGGACTTTGACCAAGCTGGCCAGGTGGCCTCAGCCTCCATTCAGGTGAGGGGGTGCTGCCCAGGCCTTAGGGTAGTGGGAAATGGGCTGCTAGTTTCATGTCCTAGAAATCATTCTCTCTCCAGTGCCTCACTTTCCTGGGATTTAGTCCCAATTAAATGGACCTGGCACAAGAAGGGCTGGTCTGTGCTGCCCTCTAGGCCTCCTGCCCAATTTCCTTATCCCTCTTGATCCTGGGGCTGTGCCCACTATGTGAGATCCATGCTCAGGGCCTTCTCTCAGGCTGATGTCACCAGGCCCAGAAGAGCTTGTCAGTCAAGTAAGGCTCAGCCAAGGTTGACCTCCTCCCATGCTAATTGAACTTTCTCCCTACAAACAATCATTTCTCCAGAAAGGCTGGCCCCTAGGCTCTGGGCAGGGTGACAGACCTACAGGAACTGGGCCCATATTCTTCTACCTACCCCTGGTTTCTGCCTCCTGTTTGACCCTGGCGTGACCTGGCTGCTGGTTGAGCACCTTGGGAATAAGCTGCAGCTGCTTATTCCTAGGGCTAGAGGATCAGAGTCCTGGTTCCTTATGCTCTGGGATAGGAGGAGGTTGATCCACCACCACCCTCCTTCCTCATCTTGTGCTATGCTACAGACGATGCTTCTGGAGAAGCTCCGTGTGGCTCGACGCCCTGCCAGTGAGGCCACATTCAATGTCTTCTACTACCTGCTGGCCTGTGGAGATGGCACCCTCAGGTGAGGTTGGACAAGGGTGCAGGAGGGGCTCTGGACTTCAGCCCATGACTGGGCTCTTGGACCTCACTGACTGGTTACCCACAGTGCTGTATGTTCCTTCTCTACTGAGTGCCAGCCAGGCTCTCAGCTGGGCCTGGGGATGGTGAGATGAGGGAGACACAGGCCCTGCCCATCAGAGTTCCCCGGCCTGGGTACTGAGTCCTTGCTGTATGGGAGGGCTACAATAGACCCTTCAGTGTTCCCAGGGCCTTCCTGAAATCTGTTACCCAGTAAGACAGATCTGTAGCGGAAAGCTCACCAGGATGCAGGTGGTGGGTGACTTGCTCTCAGTCACACACTAGTTTAGGGCTAAGCTGGTATGAGTCCACCCTGGTTCCAAAAGCCCAACTCTTCTCCAGTGCCCCCAGGTGGCCCCCTCTGTCCTGCTGGCTACCCTTGCCATGATTTTCCCTTTAGACCTTCAGACGTGCTGTCTGTTCATTAGACAAGGATAAATGATGGGGCCAAGCCTTGCCCCAGACATTATCTTCTTTAACTCTTCTCATAACTGAGGCACAGTCTGTCCTGTTGGGACTTGTCCTTCAGGCACGTTCCCTGCTTCTTTCCAAGGGTCTGGCTGGACCCTCTCTCCAGGGCCTCTCAAGTTACCTGTCCTAGAGAGGCTGGTGCTCTTCCCAGGCATCTAAGCCAAATAGGAAAGGTAGAGCTGGAGTCTGGAAACTGCATCTGTTTGTCTCCGTCCTGGGAGGGAGATGGTTGTGGCCCAGGGAACAAGCCCCTTGCTGATGCCTCATTTGTACCCCTAGGACAGAGCTCCACTTGAACCACTTGGCAGAGAATAATGTGTTTGGGATCATGCCATTGGCCAAGGTGAGGGGGCAGTAGGGACTGGATGGCAGCCATGGACCTTGGGTATAGGAGGAGTCTCAATAGTACCCCATGGGTGGCTGTACCCAAGGTCTGCCCTCCCTGAGGGTCCAGCAGCATGGGGACATGCTGGGAGCCTCTCTGAAGTCTGACACCAGTACGCCCATCTATCCCTGCAGCCTGAGGAGAAGCAGAAGGCAGCTCAGCAATTCAGTAAGCTGCAGACAGCCATGAAGGTGTTGGGCATTTCCCCTGATGAGCAGAAGGCCTGCTGGCTCATCCTGGCTGCTATCTACCACCTGGGGGCTGCAGGAGCCACCAAAGGTAACCTGCAGTGGAGTCCCAACAACCTGCCTCATTTCCTGGAGGATGTTGTGGAGGCCCTGGCCACTCCCAATTTGTTTTTGCCCTGCATAGATTCAGCTGTTACGAGACACCCCTCTGTTGCTTGTGCCCCTTCTTGGTCCCTGAAGTTACGGCAGAAGACCAGAGAAGCATTTCTGTCAATAATGGCCTGAGGCGTGGTCATAGTGGCAGGCTGGGTGCAATGTGAGGAATGGGTGGTTGGGCTGGGGCTGAGAAAAAGAGAAGATGCTCTCTTGGAACAGTCCCTGGAATAACTTTCCTTCTTATTCCCTTCCTAACAGAGGCTCCCGAGGAGCAAGCGGGTAACTGAACTTGGCCCGCCTTGGGGCATAAGGGCTGCCTTGCCCAGTCTTGGTGCTACCCTGGGCTCTTTTTGGGGGCTGGGCTCATTTTCTCATAGCATAGGGGACTGGTCTTGGGAAAAGCCCCAGGGTTGAGGGTAGAAGGGGAGCCTGCTGGATGTGGGGCTTCTTGGAGTCCCTGGAATAGCTGCTTCTCCAACATGTTTTGAATCTGGATCCTAGAATATCTCAGGATGCTAATGCCCCCGGTGGGGCTTCGATGGGGTAGGACAGATTTGCTTCCTGGGGCTTCCTGAGGCCAGTTCTCTACAGTCTTCTTCCCTTTGGATTTGGTAGCCCTGGCTCTTGGTCTTGCATGTCAGGGTGGAGGCCACTAGGGGGCAGCAGGCACCATAGTGACGATGGTTTCTGCCAGCTTGTGAATGGCTATGGCTGGGTCTTGCTTGGGAGAGCTGTTGCCTCTCTGGGAGATAGCATCGGAGGGCCTCTTTACTCGCTTTCTCCTGCTGTTTAGAGAAAGGGGATGCTGGCTCTGAACAGCACCTTGCGCTTTGGCTTTGTCTTTTCTCTGGGGTACAGAGGGCCCCAGTGTGCACAGCAAGAGTGGGAAAGTGGTGGTGGTGTATGCATGAAGGAACAGGTTGTCTGGGTGTCCAGCCCCTTATGATCCCAGCAGGTGGCACACATGCCAAGAGGAAGCAGGCTCTTGGTTAAAGAAGTTGTCTTCAGACATTATGGGCAGGAGGGTGGACAGGCATATGACTGTGTCTTAAGAGTTCTTTACTATAAGGGGTTCAAGCCTAATTTCCTCTGATCCTCCTCTGTGGTGACTGTATGTGGAGTGCTTTGAGTGATGAGCCCTGTTGTTATCAACTCAGAGCTTACAGTACTTTCCAGAGTTGTGTGTGTGTGTGTGTGTGTGTGCACGCGTATACACACACACACACACACACAGAACATCATTGCAGGTCTCTTTCTGCAAAAAGAGTCAGTGTGAAGACATCCACAAGCATACTCCTTTGAGACTGTGAATGTGTGTGTTTGTCTCCAAAGCTGGATGTGGTTGTGTTTTCTTGCCTGCTCATCCTTATAAACCCCTACCCCCCACAGTCCCTTCCTGTGGGCCTGGCGGCTCAGTTGATGACTGTTTGCTAATACACTGTTTTTCTTTGCATGCTGCATGCTGGTCCTTTGCCTTACAGAAGCTGCTGAAGGTAAAACCTTGTTTCTTGTTAGCTTTCCCTAATTGCTGTGATTAGACACATGTTGGCTGAGGCACATATATCTGTGTGGGCTGTTCCGTTTCCCCTGTGGCTGTGTTGCCTCCCTACTGTTTAGCCTTTGAGATGTCTGGTCTCCCCTGGGGCAAGATAAGGAAGAGAGGGGGATGCTAATGCATCCAGGAAGGTGTACGAGCTAGTACTCTCTCATGCTATGTTTACCACAGGCACAAGTGTTCTTCTGACTTTGTCCTTCTCCAACCCAAGTTGGGCATCCTTGGAAATAAAGGGATTTTTGCAGCCGACTGGGTACCCTCTGGTGGCAGCCTATGGAGTTGCCTCCTTTTTTAGGACCTTCCTATTATTTCCACCCCCAAGGGACACATGAAGTACTGGCAGTGGCTGGCACTCCATATTCCCATGAAGGCCATTGGGTGTCATTAGGGCTGGCTTTTGCCTCCAGGAGATGCCTGCTCCCCAGTCCTATGGGAGCAAGGGAGTCAAAAGGCACAGTGGTCATCAGTCAGCCTAAAGAGAAAGACCCAAGATGCCAGATCCTTATTTCTACCCCACAGCTGGGCGCAAGCAATTTGCCCGCCATGAATGGGCCCAGAAGGCTGCATACCTGCTGGGCTGCAGCCTGGAGGAGCTGTCCTCGGCCATCTTCAAGCACCAGCACAAGGGTGGCACCCTGCAGCGCTCCACTTCCTTTCGTCAGGGCCCTGAGGAGAGCAGCCTGGGGGACGGCACAGGTACCCTAGCCCCTTGCCTGGTAGATGTGATTGGGAAGCCTTACCTGGGGCTTGTTGCCATTCTGGAGGTGGGAGGGACTGCTGGAATGAATAGATGTTCCCATCACTGGGAGAGGTCCAGCCCCAGGACCTCATGCTGGGCAGATGGAGTAGCCCAGGAGACAAGAGATAGAGCCAATCCTACTGTCCCATAGGTCCCAAAATGAGTGCATTGGAGTGTTTAGAGGGCATGGCATCTGGCCTCTACAGCGAGCTCTTTACCCTTCTCATCTCCCTAGTGAACAGGTGAGTACCAGGCAGACCCCATGGGGTTCCCTGCTTCCTGCTCTGGCCAAGGTGGTTTGATGGCTTTGTGCCTGTATTGGCTGAGGTAGGGCCATCATCCACCAGCAGAGGGCTCACTGTCCCTCTGGACCCTGAGGAGAGGCAAGTCCTCTCTGCTAGGGCCGGGGGTATCTGGGCAGGGATGGGGATTTGCTGCATGCCAGGGGCAGACCACTGGGGTCTGCTCTGTGATGTGGCATTGGCTAGCTCTGATTCAGGCTTTCCCGGTGAAGGGCTCTCAAGTCCAGCCAGCATTCGCTCTGCTCCATGATGATTGTGGATACTCCAGGCTTCCAGAACCCTGAGCAGGGTGGCTCGGCCCGTGGAGCCTCATTTGAGGAGCTGTGCCACAACTATGCCCAGGACCGGCTGCAGAGGCTCTTCCATGAGCGCACCTTTGTGCAGGAGTTGGAAAGATACAAGGAGGTAGTTCTCTACCCCACCCTGGTTGGCCCCACCTCAGCCTCACCTTCTCCCCAGGACACCCCCAGAGAGGTCCTCTGTGAATACAGGAAGTCACCACCTTCCCTGCTGCCTGCTTCTTCCCAGCTCTCTACTCCCTCTTTATTTCTGCCTCCTTCTGTGCTGTGGAGTGGGAATCTATTCCTGCCCAGTGGCCCCAGCCCTTGACCTTGGCTGAATGAAGCCTTACTTCATGGAAAGTGTGCTTTCCACAAAATTGAAGGCACACTCTGGGTCCCTGAGAGCCACTCCATGCCCTTCTTTAAGGCACCCTCCTGGGCCCTGTGAACTGCTACAGGGCAGTACCTGCCTCCAGATGTGTCTGGCCCAGTCACCACCCCCACCCCGGCTTTCCCCTAATCTGATAGGATGGTGGTTGATGACTTAGAGTCTCTCCCTAAAAGGGTGTCCTAGATGGGATCTGGAAATCCTTCCTCATGTGCAGGTGAATTGAACAAGCTGAGGAGGATATTTATCTTGGATGAGAGAAGACTTATGAAAATCACAACAGACAGTTATATTCATATGTCAAGGGTGATTATGAAATGGAGAGTAGGCATATACTGCATTGTCTAATCAACTGATTCAAATAACAGGAGAATGTAATTTTGGCCTAGTATAAAAAGAGGTTATGAGAATTTTAGCTGTCTAGAAATAGCATGTTACCTTGGGAGGTAGTGAGCAGTTTGTCATTTGGGACTCTGGAGGGAGCCCCTGCAAGAAATGGGAGGTTGGACTTGCTGTTCCCAGAGGCCCCACCCAACCTACTCATATGTTGTGCCCTGACATGGGGCCCCCATGATTAGTACTGCCCTGCCTTCTTTTCTTAGGAGAACATTGAGCTGGCGTTTGATGACATAGAGCCCGCCGCAGATGACTCGGTGGCTGCAGTGGACCAGGCCTCCCACCAGTCTCTGGTACGAATGCTGGTGAGACCTCAGTAGCCTCGCCTCTCATCTCCCACTCCTCTGCCTGGAGTAGAGCCCTCTCTGGCCACGCTGCCACTGAGGCTGCCACTGTGGGCCAAGGGAGGACCCCAGTCAAGCCCAGACATCAAGCACTATACGGTTATAGGGCTCTGCCCCTCAGCACTCACAGCCTGGCCTGGAAGATGGCACTTTCTTCTGCCTGGTGCAATGGGAGCTGGAGTGCCAGGCAGGCAGGAAGATGTAGCTCCTCTCTTACCAGCTGAGGCTCTGGTCTGCTTGGGGGTGAGGACTGAAACCCAGAGGATGTAGTCATTGCTTTCCATTGTCCTCAAGAAGAGGACTGATGCTGCCTAGCAGAGTGGAGCAAGGAGATGGCGCCTGCTCAGTCAGGGAAACACCAAGCTATAAATGCCCTCTGGGGGGCTGCCATGGATGTAAGCCCTCACTCCTCAAGTGAGCCCTTGCTCCTCAACCTCAGAGGCAGGCTCTGTCACCCTTTGTACTAGCATCTCTGGTACCTTAGGTGCCTGGGGCACTGGCTGGCCTGATGAGCACTTGGCATTTGGTGATTACCTTCAATTAGGGGAAGTGCATAAGGTGCTTTATTGGAGAATGACATTTTTGCTAGGCTGCTCAACTCCCTCTTCTGCTTTGATTCCTGCTCTGCTCTCCCCTTCCCTGCAGTAAGGCCCTGCTGGGCTAGCAAAGGGGGTGGGACTTGGGGACAATGAATCTCCCTCAGGGACAAGTGCTTAAAGTGCTCAAGTGCTGTATCTCCCCAGGAAAGTGGATTTCCTTTTTCTGACACCTGTATTCCCATGTGGCCTCCTGAGAGAGCCTTTGCCATTCCCTGAACACAAGAAGTATTTGTACATGTGACTCATGAACAGCAAGGAGTCAGATGTGTATGGGCCAATCTTTCCCTTCCTTGGTGTCCCTATCCGATGGGCCTAGGGAAGGGAAGGGGCCCACAGTGCCACTCACTATCCAATGGCTTCATTGCTTCTTCCTGCCATTCACCTCTAGCTACTGGAGTCCTGTTGTCACCCACAAGTCCTTGGCTACGTTATGCTTCTTTCCGGTTATCATACTGACTCCCTTAGGCAAGCTGCAGCGAGGACATGTGGGTACCTGGGGTCAAAGAGAGGGAAAATATCACTTTCCCCATTTTTCTTGTCCTCAGTCCCTAAAGGCCAGGCGAGAATGTGGTGTGGGTCTGTTCAGTTCTTTCTAAGGAAGGCAGGGGAATTCCATAGAAAAGGCACCTTCAGGCCATATGTAGCTATAGGCCTAGTTTGCATGATCTTCAGGGGGTATTAGAAATCAGAATGCAGTATTTTTACCTTCTGTTGAAAACTAGATGATTTATTAACACTAGGTTAGTGCTACTCTAGGACAGCAGCTGAGTGGCAGTTGTTAAATGAGGACACTTTCTTTCTAGCTTGTTCCAGTCTCCACTTGTTTTGGCTACCACATCCACGAAGTCACCTGTCACACACTTTTGGCCCTTCAGTTTATACCCTGCGGGGATCCTGCAGCAATATGAGTCCTCCCTAGGTTTTCTCCTTTCAGGCACCAGTGTTAACCCCACAGTTGTCATTTATGGAGAGCTTCCTTTGGGTCATGCACTGTCAGAAGCTTGCTGACTTTATCCCACTTAATGTGCCAGGGAGTGAGGGCAACATGGGCCTCATAAAAGCCCCTGTACCCTCGGACAGGAGGAGAATGGAAGGGAGCCTCTGCATAGGAGCTCAAGTAATAAGTCTTTGGGGCCTTTGGATCCAAGTGCCAGGAATCATCTCTTTCTCTCTCCTGGCCCTTCTTTCCTCTCATTACTGGCCTCCTCCACAAGGTGTCAGCATTGAGTGGCCAGAGCTGCATTGTGCTGGCGGGCTGTGTGTAGTTGTTTCTGGTATGTGGTTGGGGCCAAGACTTTGCCTCCTCTCCCACAGCTCCATGTGGCAAGCTGGGATTTCTTCCCTTCTCCATAGGTCCGTTCGCTGGCCCGCACAGACGAGGCAAGGGGCCTACTATGGCTGCTGGAAGAGGAGGCGCTGGTGCCAGGGGCCACTGAGGATACCCTCCTGGAACGCCTTTTCTCCTATTATGGCCCCCAGGAAGGTGATAAAAAAGGTAGGTGGGCATTCCTAGAGGATAGCTCCTCTGCTTCCTCTCTAGAAGACCTACCTGTGTGGGTCCAGATGGTACTCCCTGGGGTGGCTCACTAAGTCCCTGGGCTGTATGCCTGTCCCCTGACAATATGAACCTTGCTTTGCTCACTCTTAGGCCAAAGTCCCCTTCTGCGCAGCAGCAAACCACATCATTTTCTCCTGGGTCACAGCCATGGCACCAACTGGGTAGAGTACAACGTGACTGGCTGGCTGAGCTACACCAAGCAGAACCCAGCCACCCAGAATGCCCCCCGGCTCCTACAGGACTCCCAGAAGTAAGGACACTATTCTGTCTGTCCATGTCCTGTCCCCACAACTATTCTCTGGGCCCCCTTCCCATGGAGGTGTCCCAGAGGCCTCTCACCAGCAAGGTAGATAGTCTTCAGTTCCTGAGAGGCAACAACCAAGACCAGTTGGCCTTGAGAACATGGGCATGGCCTTCTGGAATAGAGGCAGGAGGCAGACATGGTTGGAAATACCCATAGTTTTCAATTTGAATAACACCCTCACGTTCTTCAGACAAGGCAGAAGGAGCTTTAGAAACCACTCAGTCGTACAACCCGTGTCATCCATTCATTGCATACATTATTGTGGGACATCTTCTCTGTGACAGGGACTTCAAGGTACTTGGCAGAAAGCAGTGAAGACTATATAAATCCTTGCCCTTGTGGAGTTTGCGTTCTAGCAGTGGGGGAGAGAGATAATGAACAGGAAATGTAATAAGTGAATTATGCAGTGTGTTAGCAGATGTCGAACTCTGACCTCTCCTGCTGAGCTGGAAACCCACTGCCTGGTCCTCCCTGGCTGGGAGAAGAGTGCATCACCCCCCTCTGCCCCATCTTTGCCTGTTCCTTGACTTCTGCCCACCTCAGATTTTTCCCTTCTTGTTGTTTGAAAATATCTCTCTTGTTTCTCTGTAGGGTGTGGGACATGTGACTCCAGCCCAAATAGCTCAGGCCCCTGGCCATAGCTGTCTGGGGGTGGTTTGGTATCCTGGCAGGAGGAATGGCCACTGCTGCCCCATGAATGTGACTCCTTTTTCTCCCTTACCCTCCTGCCTCTGGCAGAAAGATCATCAGCAACCTGTTTCTGGGCCGGGCAGGCAGCGCCACGGTGCTCTCGGGCTCCATCGCTGGCCTGGAAGGTGGCTCACAGCTTGCACTGCGCCGGGCCACCAGCATGCGGAAGACCTTTACAACAGGCATGGCAGCTGTCAAGAAGAAGTCGCTGTGCATCCAGATTAAGCTGCAGGTGGTGAGTATTCAGCCAGATCCTGGGTCCCTTCCTTACCACTGGCAGGTAGGCTTGGGCACTCTGGACACACCCAGGCTGTCAAGTGCCCACCCAGCATCCCACCCTACCTGGTCACTGCTGGTGGGGTTCACCTTTCAGCCCTGCTGCCTCTGAGTGGTCAGCCAGACCTGGGGAGGACAGAGTTGTCCAGGCTTGGCGTGTCCCAGCTGGTAGTGGGTCACCTGCTATCCTGTGAGCAGTGCAGGAGCTGGCATCAGTCCCTGCTCTCCTGAGCATGGGCCATCAGAGCCCACTGAAGGTGGTCCCTTCCCTTTTGGCAGGATGCCCTCATTGACACCATCAAGAGGTCCAAGATGCATTTTGTTCACTGCTTCCTGCCTGTAGCTGAGGGTTGGGCTGGGGAACCCCGATCCGCCTCCTCCCGCCGCGTCAGCAGCAGCAGCGAGCTGGACCTGCCTCCAGGAGACCCCTGTGAAGCTGGGCTCCTGCAGCTTGATGTGCCTCTACTCCGTGCCCAGCTTCGGGGCTCCCGAATGCTTGATGCCATGCGCATGTACCGCCAAGGTAAGGCACCTTCTCGTTTCATCCTGGGGCTCCCTTTCCTGGAGATTGCTGTATCCTGCCCTGCCTTCCAGATGGGACCCAGGAGCTGCTCCCCTCCCTCTCAAAATGGCTCAAGGTCTCCTTTCTTGTGCTCCTTCCTACCCTTGTGCCTTCTTCTTGAGTCTCTGTTCTCACCTCTCTCAGCCCAAAAGTGTTCCTTTCTCTATTTCTTTCCACCTGCCTTCCAGATTTAAGTATTTATTAATCCTCTTTCTTCCCCCCCCCATGCTCCATTGTTTTTTCCCACATCTCCCTCCTTTGACTAGTCTCTAGTGTGGAAGAGTCAGCTCTTCCTATAGCAGTAGACCCAGTGCCCTTTCAAAGCCATCTGTCCAGGGAGACGCCAGGTGCTAAATCTCTCTGAAGTACTTAAAATTCCCAAGAAATGTCAGGCATACCCTTTTTATGGACCCAGCAAGAGAAGGGAGAAGGGGAGGGCAGTAGTAGTAGTATACCATCCTTAGCGCATTTATAGCACACCAGGTTCTATTCACGACTCTTCCACACTTTAATTCACAACAACCTCTTGAGGTAGGAACTATCATCATCTCCAAATGAAACTGAAGCTTAGAGAAGCCAACTAGGTTGCCTGAGGTCACACAGCTCATGGATGGCTGAACCAGATTGCATCCAAGCAGGCTGACTCCACAGTCAGGCCTCTCAAGTAGGGTTTTGTTTGCTCAAGAAGTTAGGAGTAGCCAGCTTTCTGCTTTTTCCCTAGCTAGAAGAGCAGACAGGATCTTGTCCACCCACAGCCAGGTCCCCTTGAGATATCCCTATGGGCACCATCACTTTTCCTTAGCAGCCAAAGCAAGGAAACCGGCTCCCTGCCCTGCTCTAAATAAATCATTGATCTGTCCCCACGTCTTGATATGGAGTTGGTGTTTATTATTTCAAAACCAGATTGTTACCGCTCTGAACCAAAATCAATGTGCTTTACTCAAACAAGCAGATCGATGAGGCCAGCAGCGGCAAGCCCCCCCCCCCCATTCCCCATTCCCCGGCCCCCAGCCACCATCGATAGCACTGATGATTAATTAAGATGCCAAGCGTCCAGACCTGCTATCCCGGCCCATCAATTTAATTGCAATTCAGATACAATCAATAGCTCACTTTGTCTTGGCCTCTCAGCGGCCCCCGCCTCCTGTTTCAATTATCAGGCACATGCATCAGCCTCATCTCCCAGTTGGAGGGTTTCCCAGAGCTAGCTGGCCGGCCTGGTGCAGCAAGCCCCAGCTGGCCGACAGGAACCCAGGTGTGAAGTCCAGCTCAGCTTCAGCTAGAGCCTCCATGACCTTGGGCAAGCTATTGCTCCATCTTTCAGGCCAGTTTCCTTGCCTGAAAGATAAGGTGGATTTGGTCTAGGACCCTTTTCTGGTTTGAAATACGATGATTCTGTAGGAGTAGCTCTCCTGATCCTCTACTATGGGCTCTGGAGAGACCAGGTGACAGGGGGTCATTCCTGCTGGCCTCTGTTCTGACCTTGCTTTAAGCCAGAAGCCTCTCACCCTTCCCTTGACTCTAAGCCCAGACATTCTTTAAGGAAAGAATATCTACTAGTGTTTTTGGCCACCTGGCCTAGGGCTGAAGGTCAGGGTGGGGACAGGGAGCAGAGCCCTATTTGACATCCTGCTTCAGCAGAACAAAGGAAAGGAAAGGAATATTTTACTGAGTATCCCATCAAGCTGTGTTTTCTACATATTTTCTCATTTTAGTCTCCATGACTACCGTGCAGTATAAGTGCTAGGGCCCCTTTTAAAGGTAAAGAAAGTAAGACTCAGAGAGGTGGAATGATTGGCCCAAGGTCACATTTTGGTAAGAGGCAGGGCCAGGATTCCAAGCCCTTGTGTCAGTTACAATCTGGTGTCCTGTTGTTTTTCTTATTGAGTGAGTCCTCAAGGCGTTGGTCTCTGCATCATCATGGAGTTTTACACTTGGAGGGCTGCAAAGCATCCTAGAAGTTACCCAGGTCCCCTCACCCATCCTTCCAGGTGGTTAGTGCCACCCGATCCCCCTTACTTTAACCCTTTTTAATCTTTCTGTCCTGGTGTGGAGCAACCCTGATGGTCCTCTGGGCCTCCTCTCCTTCAACTGTCCTTTCTGGGCCTGTCTCAGCTGCAGGTTCCCCACCCCTGCAGTTTCTCCCCTTTAGGTGACTCCCCACCTGGCACCAGTGACTGTTGGGCCATGCTGGGAGGAGGCAAGTTGTTAAAGACCTTACTGTGGGCCATGTCCTCTCTCTCTCTCTCTCTCTCTCTCCAGGTTATCCTGACCACATGGTGTTTTCTGAGTTCCGCCGTCGCTTTGATGTCCTGGCCCCACACCTGACAAAGAAACACGGGCGTAACTACATTGTGGTGGATGAGAAGAGGGTAGGCCTAGGTTCCCAGACCACCTGCAGACCCCTCTCACTCGCTCAGACCCCTCTAAGCAGCTGCCCTTCCCAGACCCATCTGCCCTTCCTCCTCTGGAGACAGTGGGTCTGCCTTTGCTCAGGCTCCTGGTTTTGGTCAGCAAGGGTTAAGACAGGGACACTGTGTAGTGGAGAAGGCAGTGTGGGATATGTCTGTAGTAACTGGAGAGGAGTTATCCTCCCTGGAGGCTGAACCTGGGGATGTGTGCTCTCTGGTGAGCCAGGCAATTATCCAAGAGTGAGCAGGGCCAGGGTCTCCCAGTTGGCTGATTAGGTGCTTTGGGTGCCCTAATGATAACACGTAGATCCCTCAGCTTTATTGTTCATGGATCTGGTCCCTGCATCAAGAAGCTGTCTGAGACTGGGGCCAGCTCTTCCTAAGAGCAAGGTTGATATGGCAAGACCTCCTTGGTGCTTGGGTTAGTGTGAGGCTGCTGGGCCTCTTACCAGCCAAGATTGATAAATTCATAACTACAGAAGGGGGGTGGTCTCTGTCATTCAAGGCTATAACCTTGACCCCCAGGGGCAGCTCCTCAGGCAGCCAGAGGGCTCCTTGAGCAGAGGAACCCTCCTTCCCTCTGTATTGGCCTCAATTACCCAGCACTATTCTGAGGGCACCCCAACCTTAGGAGGCTTCCCTAAAAAGGAGGGTACCCTGCAGAATGGGAAGGATGCCCCACAGTGATGCCCAGATGTTCCCCAAGTGCCCCCTCCCCTTGACCTCTGAGTCACAGACCCACAATCATAGAGCCCTCAAAAACCTTTGCTCCATTCTTAGAGCTGCCAGTGTCCTAGGAGACCTTGGTGTGACCTGTCTCATACCCTCTTCTTACTGTCCCTTTAAAAAAATTTTTTTATTTGCTCTTTTTAGATATACATAACAGTAAAGTGCATTTTGACATATTATACATACATGGAGTATACTTATTCTAATTAGGATCCCATCTTGTGGTTGTACATGATGTGGAGTTTCACTGGTCATGTATTCATGTATGAACATAGGGAAGTTATGTTGGATTCATTCTACTGTCTTTCCTCTGCCCATCTCCCTCTCTTCCCTTCATTTCCCCCTCACTGGCCCTTGACTCCCATTCCAGTCTCCCACTCATGGCTACACCCTGCACCTTGCCATCCCTGGAAATGCTTCACCTCCAAAATCTTAAATTCCAGCGTGGCCTTCTCTGAATACAACCTCCTACCTATGGTTCTCATTCTTCTCTTCCTCTTAGGACAACTGGTCTTTGATGTCATCAAGACCTCTAATTTCTGGACCCCACTCCATTCTCTCTATTCTCTCAATTCTTTTCTGATTTTTTTCCCTTTCCCTTTCAGCCTTGAAGCCATGGTCCATCTTGCCATTCACTCAGCCTTTATCACCCCCAGCTCTCCTGAGCCTTCCATGGTACCTGCTCTGCCAAACCCCCACCCCAGAGGCCAGCCTTTGTGCACTACACTCTTCATTTTAAACTCCCAAAGGTTGTGGGAGAAAATGATACAACCATGTAGACTTGAATTCCTACAGATTTATGGTCTTCAGCCTTAGGTGGGCCTTCAGGGTGGCCCGGCAAGTCTTCCATCTGTCCCATCTTTATCTGGCCCTAACCCCCAAATCCTTACCTGCTATTCTATTCTTCGTCTTTCTCCTAAAAATCTTCCCCAACCCTCCTGTAATCTTGCCTTCAAACTCCAATAGAATCAAGCTCTTCCTCCTATCATCTTCAAACTTCTCTTCTGCTTCCTTCCCCGCACCCACCCCTCCTGTGTTGGTGGGAGAATACCCCTTCTCTTTTGTAGTTCCTTCCTCTGTGCTTTGGAATCCATCTCTCCCCCAGGGACCATTCCATCAATGTTAACTCCTCTCATGCTTCAGCCTCTCTCAGTTCTTCTTGCCCTATGAAGAAACATTCTGTAGACTTGTTCTCTGAAAGGAATCTCTGTCAAGCCTCTCAGGCTGGCCTACATTCTGTCTCTCCCTTGTCCTGTACCATCAATGCTTACTTCTGCCAGGAGTGGTAGCACATGTCTGTAATCCCAGAGATGGGGGTCGCTCAGGCAGGAGGATCACAAGTTCAAAGCCAGCCTTAGCAACTTAGCAAAGCCTTAAACAACTTAGTGAGACCCTGTCTCAAAATTTAAAAAAATAAAATAAAAAGGGATGGGGATGTTGTTCAATGGTTAAGTACCCCTGAGTTCAATCCCTGTTCCAAAAAATTAAAAAAACAACAACAATAAACTCCTCTCCTGAGCCCTCACCCCAGCCACCATCCATTTCTTTACCACAGCTGCCTGGTCTCCTCTCCTTGGTACCCTGGGACTGATTTTCTCATCTTCTCATTCCCTCCATGTTGCCAGAATCAATCCTTCAGTCACTTGAATTCTTGGCAACAAGTGACTTTGCTAATGGCTCTCTTCTTTTTGAAACCATCTCTGCTCGCTTCTTTGTAGCCACTCCTAGTTTCCCCATCTCTGTTCTCATCCCCGTGGAGCTGCTCCACTTCTACTCACCCCCTCAGTGAGGTCTCTCTCTCTCTCTCCAATACTCTCTTCTTGGCTGTATCTGTTTTCAATTCTACTCCCTCTTCTTGGACAGCCTCATTCACACCCATCACTTCAATTACCGCATATATATTGATGACTCCCAGATCGATACCTCAGCCCAGGCTTCTCTCCCGAGCTCCAGACAAGCCATTCATAGCCGCCTTTTGAACCTCTCTATCTGTGTTCCTCTTACACCTCAAACCCAGCATGTTCAAACCAAACTCATTCTCTCTCCTCCCAAACCCACTTCTTCCCTGTGTTCCCTGCCTTGGGAGTGACCCCATTATCTGTTTCATTACATAAGTCAGAAACCCCAGCGGTAGCCCTAGATTCCTCCTCCTTCTGTGCCCTCCTCCCCTGTCTTCTTATGTTAGGGAGCTCCCTCTCCTTAGCATCTCCTGCATTTCCCTCTTCTCTTGCCTTTGAGGCAAACTCTAGCCTCCTTTCCTCCTTACACACCTTACACACCTCCTTGGTTACCCCTTCATTCCAGGTGTTGTGAGGTGTGTGGAGCTTCCCCAGAGCATTCTGCCACCTTTGCTCCAGGCCTTTGCTCCTGCTAGTAGCACTACCTAAACTGCCCTCTCCCCTCCTTTCTCTAGCTAATTCTACATGTATCTAAATTCTCAGCCCAAACAATGCCTCTTCCATGGTGCCTTTCAGGACTTCGATGCTTCCTTCTCTATATATTTCCCTTGTCTCACTCCCCAGAAAGACAGTTTGTTCCTCTTGTAGTCACCTCTGCATCCCCACAGTCAAACACAGTCTCCGACACTGCAGAAGCCCACCAGAAGGGCTTGTAGGAATAAATAATAGACTGCCGGGGGGAGGAAAGGGAGGACTGAATCTGGAGCTGGGGAGGCACGAACTGGCCTCCTGACCCAGGCCTCTCTTCTCAGGCGGTGGAGGAGCTCCTGGAGTCCTTGGACCTGGAGAAGAGCAGCTGCTGCATGGGCCTGAGCCGGGTGAGTTGCTCTACAGGAAGGTAGTCAGGTCCTCTCTCCTTGGTGGCCTTGGTCAGGTGGCTGCTCCTCTCCTCCTGTTCTCTCTCCTCCTCAGTCAGGCTTCAGAAATCTCCCCGGCACCCTTCTGAGTCCTGCCTCACAAACTGCACAGACGCTCAGAGGCTGCTGCTTCTTGCAAGGTGCCCACTTCAGGGCCAGGAGCCAGGGGTATAGGTATTCTAGGGGCAGCAACCTTGACTCTCTGCCCTCTGGACAACGGGGCTCGCTCTGGTGTCAGGAGGGAGTGGGTTGGAAGGTAGCCTGAGTCCTGTGTGGGGAGTGGAGGGACAGAAGGACTGGACTCAGAGGAAGTGGGCCAGGAGACTGAAAGGCTGTAGGGAGAGTGCCCCAGAGGGCAGAGCCCCCATTAGAGAGTCTTCTAGGGCTGCCAGGGTTGAGAAGAGCAAGCAGGACACGGAGAAGCAGTGCTGCTACCACCTGCCCACAGGCCAGATTCCTCATCTGAATGGAATGTGATGATAAAAGGCAGTCACACCCAGCCCTGGGTGCAGTGTGCTATCTTCCACACCAGAGGGTCAGCCAAGCGCTCCTTCCACAGGCAGAGAGCCCTGCACGTCCCTCTCCCCAGACAGGGACACTTGGACAGGCAGCATTGGTGTATGTGCTCTGAGGGTTGAGGTGGAAGGGAGGGCAGTGGGGAGCCAGTTCTGGGCCCATCCTTCTGTCAGCAGAGAGGGAAGGAACTCTGGGCCCCAGAGCCTCTTGGGGAGTGGAAGGTGGAAGGAGGAGGTACTGTGTGTGACTTGTCCCCTCTGTTCTCGGTCCTTCCTTTCTGCATTTTGAGTCAGGGTCTTGGTTTTCCTACCCTTCCTCACTGTGAATCCCTTTCCCTCCATCCTTGTGTCTTTGTGGCTTCCCGTCTGCCATCTTTGGCTTTCTGTCTTCCTTTGGGCCTCAGCAATCCTTGCTGCTCTCTGTTTCTTACTTTCTGATCCTGTTTGTTCCTGTCTCTCTCTTTGTCCGGTGTCTGTTGGTGGTCCCACCCTCTTTTGCTGTCATTTCTGGTTTTGGTCTCTGTCTTTCACCTCCTTTGGTCTCTGTTCTGTCACCTCCTTCTCTCTGGTCACCCCCCTTCCCAGGCTTTTCTTAGGCCCAGGGACTTTCAGCTGGGCTTCCTCTCTGGGGCTGGCTGCAGTTGAGGACATGCCCTAGGCTGCTTGGTGTCTCAGAGGTAAGCTCACACTCAGGATTTTCCACAGTCTACAGCCATTTCAGCCAGCCGCACAGCTGCTGGGTGACACTGGGACTGGTGGTACCCCTCCAAACAGGTTTCCAGGTTCCTAGGCATATCCCAGGCAGGAGTGGGCCTGTACAGACTGATCCTCTTCTGGTTGGTGTCTCAGACCTTCCATCCTGAGTCCTCCCTAAAGCCCAGCTAAGGCAGGGGAGCCCCAGGGCCCAGTCTTGGGGGCACAGCTTGGGGGCAAGGTTGAGTGTTTGCTCACACCTGGTTGGGTGAGAAGGCTCCAGTCTTATAGGCTGTGGGTTGTATCAACTGATGGGGGACAACTCCCTGTGTGGTCGTCAGTCTTCAGAGGAGGGGTCTTCACATGAACCCAGAGGGTCCTGAGGTTTCAGGCAAGGACTTGGGGAGCCTGAAAGCCTCCTGACATTGTAAGATTTGTGTGAATGGCCGTGAGCTTTCACCTAATACTCAGAGGTACTCTTGGCCCCAGGAATGTCCAAAAGAGATTTGAAGCTCACTGCTCTAGCTCAGGACCATTCTTTCTCTGCTCATTATGTTTCTGGGTCATTCTCTGTCCCCTGTGCTGGCATCTCCCTCTTGCCCTGGCATAGAGATGGCTGTGTGTGCTAACCAAACATGTTTGCCCACCTCCGGGGGGAACTGGATATTCCCTCCCCACCCTCTCACTGGAATTTCAGGCTCACACATTATGGGAAATTTAGGATCATGTTAAGCTCGAGACCCATGGGAGACTTCACTTAGCCCTCCCTTGTGAGATTTGGGGAAGTGTCACAAAGGCCTGAGCTAGCTTTTTCCAAGACCAGACTCTGGGATGAGGCTTCTGTGAAGTTGCCAGAGGCAAAGCTTCCTCAGCAGAAAGTTTAGGCCCTCTTCCCATTTCCCAAAGAGGGTCTTGGGATTCATCCCTATGGTTCCGAGTACATTTTCATAAATTGGGTTTCCTGTGGAATTCCTATCTTCTCTGCCCCTTCAAAAGGGAGTCTTCCGTGTTCTGAGCCAGGTGTAGGTCCACACATACCAGGTGTATCTCTTTGCCCTCTCAAGGGCACCGGAGTCTCTCTTCACCTGACCAATCCCCGTCCCCATTTCTCTTTGTAGGGAAATTTTACCTAGCCCCAGCTCAGAGCAGCAAGGAGTGAGCCGAAAGGCTGGGTGTGGGGGTGTCCAGCTGGTTCCTTACTCTCTGTCCTCCAGCCCCCAAACCTGTATGACGAGTCCCTTGACAGAGCCAACTCCCGCCCACCTCACTGGCTTCTTCATGAGAAGATGAAACCTGGGTGTGTGGGGGGTGGAGCATTGGTACATGAGAGGACACCTCTGGAATGAAACTGAGCAGCAGGGCGAGAAGGACAGGAGCTTCCCACCGCCCCATCCCCCTTCTTCCTCACACGCTGCTTCCTGGACCATCCCACACCCAGACTTCACCATCCTCTTCACCTGGTCCCAGGCACCTGGAGCCAGTGGTTAAGATCAATAGTAAAGCCTGGCATAGGGGGCATTGACAGCCACCGATGTGGCTGAAAGGTGTCTCTTCCCTGTCTGACCCGTGATGGCTTCATTTCCCTCCTTGCCCCAGGTGTCTTCCCTTTGGCTTCCCTGCCTTTCATCTGTCTTTGATTTCCTACCTGGCTCCTCCTCCGGGTTCAAATCCTCCCCATCCCAGCCTGGCCCTTCCCCACTCACCCTCCCCGAGCTGCTTCCTGCTCCTTCTTGCTCCTCCCCTCCTCTCTTGGACAAAGTGGATTTTCAGGCTCTTCCCAAACCAGGGGCCACACTTCCTGACCTGCCGGCTCCCTGTGCCAGCTACTTATCCCTCCAGCTCCTCACCTTGCCTCCCTTTCCTTCCCTGGGCTGTCCTGACCAGTCTCAGGTGTTTACCTGGCTGCTTTTCCCCCACAGGTGTTCTTCCGGGCAGGCACGTTGGCGCGACTGGAGGAGCAGCGGGATGAGCAGACCAGTAGACACCTAACCCTGTTCCAGGCGGCCTGCAGGGGCTACCTTGCCCGCCAGCACTTCAAGAAGAGAAAGGTGCTTCTCTGTGGACACCCCACCCTACATGGGCACAGCTGAGTTCTGGGGGAGGTGGGAATGCAGGAAACATGTAGGACAGGAAATCTTGAGCTTATGGGTTTTCACCTGAGGAAGAGGCACCATGGCTACGTGGGATCTCCCATGGGTCTCAAGCTCAACATGACCCCCTCTCCCAAGGGCACCATGCCCTGGGCCAGGGTGGGGAGCACACTGGTATGCCCAGCAGCAGGACCATGCATCCTGGTTGGAGGGCTCAGTAGAGGGGGGGTGGGAAGTAGGGCCCAGGCAAAGGTGGGCTCTGGATCACGGGCTGCTCCATGAAGATTAAGGAGCTGTGTCAGCGACTCCTTTTCTTATTAGCAAGTCCATAAAACAGCCAGCACTGCCGCCTCTTGTGTTTCAGCAAGATTAGGTTTTATAGCACAGCTAGGCCAGGGTGCTAGTAATAATCAGGCAGCAAATAAAGCAGATGAAATTATTCCTAATAACAGTGGAGTGGTTAGTGCCCAGTATGGTGCTCCCAGGCTGCCCACTCTCTGAGAGATGGAGGGAGGCAGGGGGCAAGGTGGGGATGGATAAGGTCTGACTCTGGGTCAGGGGGCCAGAGGAGTAGGCCCAGGGGCTGTGTTGGTGGTGGGTAAATTCCCTGACCAGGCTTGGCCAGGGGACTGAGAGCCATCTTCACCTCAACTGCAGATCCAGGACCTGGCCATTCGCTGTGTACAAAAGAACATCAAGAAGAACAAAGGGGTGAAGGACTGGCCCTGGTGGAAGCTCTTTACCACTGTTCGACCCCTCATCGAAGTACAGCTGTCAGAGGAGCAGATTCGCAACAAAGACGTAAGCAACCACTTGGGCACGGCTAGGTCACTGCAAAGAACCCACTTGTGAAAGGGTTTATCTTGGGCTCCAAGATGTTTCTATGTCCCATGAGCTGGTGTCCAGTGTTCTTAAACTATGCCCATCAAGCAGGTTCCCTCTGGGATTGTGCTAGGGCCCCTGGGTAGCCATTATTTTTTAATATTTATTTTTTAGTTGGACATAATACCTTTATTTTATTGTTTTATATATGGTGCTGAGGATCGAACCCAGGACCCCGCACGTGCCAGGCAAGCGCTCTATTGCTGAGCCACAACCCCAGCCCCCATTGGGTAGCCTTTTAGGATGGAATCTTGACATCCTCAGGTTATAGGGAAGGGCCTAGGAACAGGAGCCACAACTCTTCCTTTGAGAATGTGCCTTCCCCATGTCCTGGTCAGACCTGAGCTTCATCAGCTTTATTTGACACAGGTATACAGACCCTGGGCCCCAACTCCTCAGAGTGCCCCACTTTGTCCTCCTTGCTTCACCCTAGGAGGAGATCCAACAGCTGCGGAGCAAGCTTGAGAAGGTGGAAAAGGAGCGAAACGAGCTGCGGCTCAACAGTGACCGGCTGGAGACCCGGGTGAGTGACTGCTGGCACCAGAGAAATGGCCCACCATCTAGGGCGCCCCGGCCTTCAGAAGTTCCCCTGCAATTCTGGCTGAGTGAGGCAGGTTTTTCACCTGGGTAGTGACCCCCCTCCCCCAACCCCAGATCTCAGAGCTGACATCGGAGCTGACAGATGAACGTAACACGGGAGAGTCCGCCTCCCAGCTGCTGGACGCGGAGACAGCGGAGAGGCTCCGAGCTGAGAAGGAAATGAAGGAGCTGCAGGTAAGGGCAGGGCCAGGGTGAGCCCTGAAGGCTAGTGACTGCAACAGTCTGCTCCCTCAAGGCCAGTTGGCATCTTCTCCACTGGCTCAGATCCCCGTCTGCCCTGGGTAAGCGTGTGGTCTGTTGGGGGTCAGGGTGTGAGTGGGTCTAGGGGAGGGTCAGGATGTACACCTCATAATCCCCTCTCCTGCAGACCCAGTATGATGCACTGAAGAAGCAAATGGAAGTGATGGAGATGGAGGTGATGGAGGCCCGGCTCATCCGGGCAGCTGAGATCAACGGGGAAGTGGATGATGATGATGCAGGTGGGTCTGACACAGAGGAGCTGAGCAGTGGCCTGAGAGATACCCACCCAGATACCCACCCCCGGGCAGTTGTGCCCCTTGTCCAGGCCTGTCTCCCCTCTGAGGGCTATTATAGGACTGAAATAAGTAGATGAGAAAACAGAGGTGCTGATAAGTACAGGGATTAACAACCATGAGAATGACAGTGTCTGAGGGCCATCATCTTGACAGTCCTTAGGAAGGGGTCAGCACATGTCACCACAGCACCCTCCTCTAGTCTTCTCCCTTTTAGTGCCCATGGCTCCTTCCTGCCCCTCCTTCCCCTCTGCCCCTTCTTGGGGATTCTCAGCACTTCTGTCCTCCCTTATCTGCCCCCCACCCCACAGGGGGCGAGTGGCGGCTAAAGTATGAGCGAGCCGTGCGGGAAGTGGACTTCACCAAGAAGCGGCTCCAGCAGGAGTTAGAAGACAAACTGGAGGTGGAGCAGCAGAGCAAGAGGCAGCTGGAGAGGCGGGTGAGGCTGGCCAGGGAGCAGGAGTCTGTGCTTGAGAGGGCTGGGGCCTCAGCACCAGTGAGTGTCAGCCCAGTGAGTGGCTCGAGGCAGGCAGGCCTCAGGAAGAATAGGGTGGGCATGTTGGCCTGTCCTGCAGGGACAACCAAGAGCATCTTAGTTTCCCGCACCTCATCCCTCATCCTGGGATCTTCCTCTTTTCCATCTATCTCCCTCACCTCTTTCCACCAATACTTATGAGTTTTTCAATGGCTGCTGACCTTGTACCTCATCTCGTCCTCTAGCTTGGGGACCTACAGGCAGATAGTGATGAAAGCCAGCGGGCTCTGCAGCAACTTAAGAAGAAGTGCCAGCGACTAACAGCTGAGCTGCAGGACACCAAGCTGCACCTGGAGGGCCAGCAAGTCCGCAACCATGAGCTGGAGAAGAAGCAGAGGAGGTGGGTGGCCCCCTGCCCTGGGCTCAGAGAGTCTTCTAGAGTGACTACAGATAGGGTTCCCTCATCCTTTCAGGGAGGAAAGGACCTGAATTTGACCAGGAACCTTGCCTGCATGGTCATTGGTCCTGGCATGTGAATGGGGACTTACTCCTGCCTCCAGCGATATCTTGGATCAGATCCCCACACTGAAGGCCTGCACAGGCCTCTGCTCAGATATGCTCCTCCCAGTGTGCTCCTGTCACCCTGTCCCATGCCTAGTGAGGACTGGCATTAGCCAGGCCCCATGCAGAACCACCTCATCCCTGTCCCTGCCCCTTGCCCCTACCCGGCTCTGTCTGCGTTGCTCTCACTTGCCTCAGCTACACAAACACACTCTCCTGACGAATGTTGAATGTCGTTAAACTACCGTGCCACTTCCATCTCATTATGGTAATGACACAAAGGAGGGGGGCAGCCCTCACAGGAGAAAATCCAATCTAAATTAATTTCCCTGGCTGGGGATGGGAATGGGACGCCTTTATTAGCAGCACCGAGAAGCCCACACACCCTGGGAACAGCAGGGTGCCCTAGGGAGCGGGAACAGTGCCCATTTCCCCTCTGCTGAAGGGCTTCTGGCAGAGGCATCAGTTGCCTTTGTGAAGGGCAGACACACCCCCTGCCCTGGGAGTGAGGGGGCAGTGTGGAGCCCTCCCAGCTCCCAACTACCAGGGTCACCCTGAGCCTCCTGAACTCCCTGCTGCCTTCTCTACTGGCTGTCACTCTGAGGAGAGTGAGGGGAAGTAGGAAGATTTTCTGTCCCTCCCAGCACATGATCCATGTCCCCCATTCTTATCTTTACCCCTACTCTGCCCTTTTATCCAAAGACTGGCACCCTTGCTGGACCCCCCTCCTGAGCACCCTAATGACAGTGCCAGCTTGGCCTAGTTACCATGTCACCACACTCCCTGCTGGGCAACTTATTAGGTTTCAGCTGCCCGGAGTTTTCTTTTCTTTTTTTATTGGGGGGAGGTGTTCAATTTCCACAGGAACCTGATTAGCTATTCAGAGAAGGTGTTAAGAGGGATTTCAGCAATTTGCTCCTTATTTAGAGTCACTGGGCGGGAAATGGAAGGCTGAGAAGTGAGGAGTGGAGAAGGAGGCCTGTGGCTGTGGAAGCACGCTGCCAGCTGGGCCTGGCGGGAATGCTGGCCTCCAACCCAGTGTGGGGTGTCCTGGTGGTGACCTAGGTTCTGCTGGGGCAAGTGGCCCTGGCCAAAGGCAGATGCCCAGTGTCAGGGTCAGGAGCCAGCAGCCAAGTGCACAGAGGCTGAGTTGAATTGTGAGATGTGAGCAGGATGAGGCAGGACGTCCATTCCTACCCATTCCCATGCCCACTCTGCCCTCACCCTGGCTCCTCATTCTTTGATCTTTTGAAATGGCAAAGGTAGAGACTTAACTCCAAAGAAGAGAGTCTGTCTGCCTTTTTCCCAGGAGCAGACCCCACAGAAAGGGCCTCTTTAATGAAATGCCCCAGACCAAGGCATGGCTACTCAGCAGGGCTTCAGTAGCTTGACCTATTACCTCTGAATATCACTCCCACCTCACTGCTGTCCCAAAGTTAGGGCTATATGCCCCCCAACCCTGCTTATGCCTCATCCAAATACGGGGTACCACTTCCCAGCAGTCTCTGTGTGGGGGACCCCAACTCCACCTGTACCTGAGGAGGTCACGATGCTCCCTCACAGGTTTGACAGTGAGCTCTCACAAGCACATGAGGAGGCCCAGCGGGAGAAGCTGCAGCGGGAGAAGCTGCAGCGGGAGAAGGACATGCTTCTTGCTGAAGCTTTTAGCCTGAAGCAGCAACTGGAGGTATGTGGTGCCACCTTCCATGTCCCATCCCCCCAAGAGGCTGGGACCCGCCCTGCGCCATCCTCGTCTTCTCTTTTGCTCCAGGAAAAAGACATGGACATTGCGGGATTCACACAGAAAGTCGTCTCATTGGAGGCTGAGCTCCAGGACATTTCTTCCCAAGAGTCTAAGGACGAGGCCTCTCTGGCCAAGGTCAAGAAGCAGCTCCGGGACCTGGAGGCCAAAGTCAAGGATCAGGAAGAGGAGCTAGATGAGCAGGCGGGGACCATCCAGATGCTGGAGCAGGTGCCTGAGGCTTGGCCAAGGGAGGGAGGAGGCATGGCAGGAACCACTGTCATCCCACCACTAACCCAGGGTATGGGCCAAAGGAGTGCAAGATCCACATTCATTTATTCATTCACCTCTTCACTTACAAAATGTTGAGTGAGCCCAGGATCTGTGCCAGCCACAGTGTGAAGACAGTTAAGCTTTTTCAAAAACAAATCTTGATTGAGCTCTAGTAGTGAGGGGCTCAGGAGGCACTGCAGCCAGCAGGCCATGAGCTCACCCAGCCTGCCACTGAGCTGCCAAGTCCATTCAGGGAGCTAGAGCCTGCAGACCAAGTAGAAAAGCTGCAGGATTGTCCCCACCCCCAGCAGTCTCTCCCTGGGCCTGTGCCAGACATCTAGTCAGGGAATCCAGCTTCTCTGGAGAATCCTGCTGCCATTAGAGCAAAAATGTGTGCAAGCAAAGGGAACTGCTGGCAGAGATGTTCCCTGCTCCTAAGGTAAAACCCAGGCCCAACTCCCAATCACCTCCAGGCCAAGCTGCGTCTAGAGATGGAGATGGAGCGGGTGAGACAGACCCATTCCAAGGAGATGGAGAGCCGGGATGAGGAGGTCGAGGAGGCCCGGCAGTCATGTCAGAAGAAGGTATGGTGTCTGGGCCCTTATTTACCAGTATAAACACCTGTTGCTCCGTAACCACTTTAGAGTGAGGGGCTTTGTTTCCCTGCCTTAGCCACCCTATCTTCCACTGAGATTCTGGACCTAGAATCTCTTCTCAGAATACCTGCATGGGCTGGGATGTGTCCCTTAGAGCCTGCAGACTCTGTCTACCTGTCCTGATCTGGGGGTGTCCATCACCAGCTAGCCTGGCCCAACAGGTCCTCACTCTGCAATGAGTTTTACTGTGGCCCAGGTAGCTGTGTGATCTGCCATCCCGTCCTCTTAAGCTTCTGTGAGATTCTAGGAATTTGGAGTTTGGGTTCTGACCTCTCTGGGGTCACCCATGCTCTGCCCTGCCCTACTGTTTTCTTGCGGTGGGAGACCCATCAGGGAACGGGACTGCCTGACCCTGGTCTCCATTCCCCATGGCACTCCAGTTAAAGCAGATGGAAGTGCAGCTTGAGGAAGAGTATGAAGACAAGCAGAAGGCGCTGCGGGAGAAGAGGGAGCTAGAGAGCAAGCTTGCCGCACTGAGCGACCAGGTATAGGGGCCCGCCATCTGCCTGTCCCACCAGCCTGGGGATGAGAGAGCAGGGGCCAAGAAGCTGGGATGGGTGAGGTTGGGGAGAGCTCTAGAGTACCCACCTGTGCTGCTCTGGGGCTATCACCTATGGGATGGGGACATCCCCGTACATTGGCACACCCAGGCCAATGTATGTTGGTTGGTGTGATCCTGGCATATTCAGTATTCTTGCTCATTTGGGTGACCCTGAGAATGAGGGCAGGGATGAAGAGTGGACTTGGGAAAGACAGGAGGAGGCCCTGTGGTAAAGCCCAGAGTCCCAACTGCTGGTGTCTACCAGGTGAGCCAGCGGGACTTTGAGTCAGAGAAGCGGCTGCGGAAAGATCTGAAGCGCACCAAGGCCCTGCTGGCAGATGCCCAGATCATGCTGGACCACCTGAAGAACAACGCCCCCAGCAAGAGGGAGATCGCCCAGCTAAAGAACCAGGTATCTTTACTGAAAGGAAGTTATTGGTTCCAGGAACAAGGGAGCTTGTTTTCAGTTTTTTTTTGCTTTTTTTTTTTTAATATCTCTCTCGCTTCCCATGGGTTCTTGAGTTCTTGGGAAGGAGAGTGACAGGAATGTGGGGAGAAGTCCTCTGTAGCAACCAAAGCCCCCAGGGTCTTTGTATGTTGTGCAACCTGACTGCCAAACCCTGGGGTGGTGTGGGCATGGCCTGGTGCCCACACCCCTGTTGTGGGAGGAATGCCTGTGTGTGCACCACAGCATGGCTGTGGCCTTGGGTCTGAAGTGAGTAGAGGAGGAAGAGAGCATCTGGGCCCCCTCTGCCCTTTGAGCACCCTGCACATCCCTCCTGCCTCCTGGGAGTGGCTGATGTTTCTCCCTGGGGTGGGGTGGCTCTGTGTCCAGCTGGAGGAGTCAGAGTTCACTTGTGCAGCAGCCGTTAAAGCACGGAAAGCAATGGAGGTAGAGATCGAAGACCTTCACCTACAGATTGATGACATCGTCAAGGCCAAAACAGCGGTAAGGGTCCGGGTGTCCATGGCAGAGATTGGGGGAGGGAAAACAGAATCATGACAGTGGCTGCCTTCACCCCAGATGGGTTTCTTCATGACAGGGCTTTCTGCAAAGACAGTGGTCTCCTATCCTCTGCCTCTCTCCACTCAGAGCACAGGCCCTGGAGGAGGGAGCCATCCAAGGCCCATCTCCCTGTTTAACCACCCGCTTTCGGGAGCTTGGCCACTTGGCCACAGGCCCCAGCACCATAAATAAAGGCAGCTAATGTGGCTGAGGGATGTAAACAGGTACCTGGAGATTAGCAGAAGCACTGATAAGAGGATGGGATGGCTCAGCTTCCCTCCCCTCCCCTTGCCCAGCCCACTGACAAGCCCAAGCGGCAGCTAATTAGAGCTCTTATTTAATGCCTCTCTTTTAATTCCCCACTCTCCCACGGCCCATCCATCGGCAGAGAATTCACTACCGGGATGCGGCCACTGGTACCTCCTTGGGCTGGAAATGGGGCAAGGGAGGAGGCTGGGTTTGGCCGTTGGCTTCATGGCCCCCTAGCTAGTCACCCTGCTGCCCAGAGATGCCAATCTCATGGGCTTGATTTATCCTCCTGACATTTGTGCTCTTCAGCAGTTTTCAGGTGAGTAATTCAAATTCCTTAATTGTGTTAAAAAAGGCTGTTATAAAATTACCATTTTATTTAAATCTGAGTTAATAAATTTCTTGGCGGAGGCTTCCCCAGCTCCCCACAGCCCAGTAACAAGATGGATGGGGCAGAGAAGGAGCCAATGCAGTCATTTTGGTTTGGAATTACAGGCTAATAGATTCATTCATTTCCTGAAGCTGCTGTTGGCTGCCTCTTCCCCTCCCCCAAGAGTGGACTGGCTGTGGGGGCTGGATGACCCAGGGGAAATGAGAATCCAAGCCAGGGGTCATCATCACCTTGAAGGGTCCTTCTCTGGGGCCTGAAGCAGGCAGAGTACACATAGGTCAGGGGCTAGGTTGATAGTGCCAGGATGTCGGGTCATTTGTTCTGGGAAGAATTTTTCTGTCTTCTCATTAGCCTCAAAAGAGCTGCCAGAAAGCAGCTGTCATTTAGCACAGAAGCCAAGGGCCTGCCTATCCTGCCCAGACAGCACTTTCCCTCCTCTCCCTACCCAGAGCATGTCAGGCAGCTCCCTGGTATCACTGGTCCTGGAACTCACTCCAGCCAGTGACCCAGCCCATCATCATCTCCCCACCTGACTGCCACCCCTACCTAGAGGAGGTGGCATGGGGGCAGGTTTGGACTTGCCACCTGGGGCCTTCAGGCATGCCAGGCCTGCTGCCCTCTGAGCTGTCTCTGCCTTCATCCAGCTGGAGGAGCAGCTGAGCCGCCTTCAGCGTGAGAAGAATGAGATCCAGAACCGACTAGAAGAGGATCAGGAGGACATGAATGAGCTGATGAAGAAGCACAAGGCTGCAGTGGCTCAGGTACCCCTTCCTCAGGAGTGTCCCACCATGCAACCCACCAGTCACTGCTCTTCTGGGTCCCCCTTTTAGCCACTTTTTTTTAGGATGGCTACAGTGTGGGAGTCAGGGTGCCCAGGCCCTCAGTGGAAGCGGGGGCCCTGGACTTGTGTTTAGGGGGATCCTGTACACCATGTTCTCACCGTTTTCTCAGGCTTCCAGGGACCTGGCACAGATGAGTGATCTACAAGCTCAGCTAGAGGAAGCCAACAAGGAGAAACAGGAGCTGCAGGAGAAGGTGGGCACTGGGGACTCCCTTGATAGAGATGGTGCAGGGTCACTCTGTGAGGATGGTCCCCTAAGCTCAGAGTATGGAAAGTGTGTCCCTCTACCATCTGTGTTCCAAGTAGTAATATAAACTAGCAAGAAGAACTAGGCTTGCAGCCATATCACCGTAGCAGACATTTTGGCTTTGGCTGCCTCATTTCACATTTCTATTCCCTCTCTGGTCCTTAGCATTCTCCATTCTCTCCAAAGGGCAAGATCTGTGCCAAGCACTGGGGCAGTGAGGGATGCCTGTGGCCCCCTCCTCCCACCTTCCCCTCAGCATGCCTCCCTGCCTCAGCCTTCCGGTCACCATGGTGATGTCGCCTGCCCCAGACTCTGCCCCAGACTTTGCCCCCCCCGCCCATTTCTGGGCTCAGTTTTTTCTTCCTTTGCTCCCCACACTCCACTCCAGCTACAAGCCCTCCAGAGCCAAGTGGAGTTTCTAGAGCAGTCTATGGTGGACAAGTCCCTGGTGAGCAGGCAGGAAGCAAAGATCCGGGAGCTGGAGACACGTCTGGAGTTTGAAAGGACCCAAGTGAAGCGGCTGGAGGTAGGTTCAGCTACGGGTCCGGTCCGCAGCAAGCAGGGGAGAGCTGCCCCAGTAGTTGGAGGCACGCATGCTCCACAGGGCTGGGCAGGCCAGGAACACTCCTCAGAGGCCTCTGCCAAGCTGCCAGGCCAGCTGACGGAGCGGGGACCCTTCTCCCACCCGCCCGGCCTGCTCTCTGGGCACCATAGAGCCTGCCTGCTTTACATTCTGTTTCCGTGCTTGCTTTCTGCCAAGGGACCAGAGCAGCTTAGCTTTTCGTCTTCATATTTTCCTCCACGGCGAGCTCCGGGCCCCCCCCCCCGCCCCCCCCCGTCCCCCTCACTTGGCTCTCTGGCAGGGTCATAAATATGCAGCGGATGGCGCCACTGCTCCAAGGGTTGAAGTCTGTTCTCATCTCACCGCTCTCTCCTCCTCTCCCCTTCCCTTTGCATTCCCTTTTTCCCTTCCTTCCACCCTTCCCAGCTCTGCTTTTTCTCCGCCTCTATTCATTTTTCTCTGTTATTGACCTATTATTTTTTTTCCCTTTATATTTTTCCTCTCGTTGATCTTGTCTCTCTTTCTTACCCTCTTCCCCTTTCTTCTTTTCTCCTCTTCCCATTCCTCTTCTCTCTTTTTCATTTTTTTAACCCTCCCCCCCCAACACTCTTGTTGTGCTTGACCTCTTTTCTTCTCTGTTTATCCCTCCTTTCTCCCAGTGGAATCTCTGTTCTCCACGTCAGTCCTTTCTCTCCAATCTCCCTAAGCCAACATGCTCCAGCCCTAACAGATAGAGAGAGGCAGGCAGAATTCTTTCTCTGTGTTTATGCCCCTCTTGCCTCATTTGGAAGTTCTCCTCCTTCCCAAGCTTATCAACATTTGTTTAAGCCGTCCTGCCTCAGAACTGTGTTCATGGGCATGGTCACCAAAAAGCATCCCTGCTACCTTGTCCTTCAGCTGCTCAGTCATCAGAGCAGGCACAAGAGGAGGAATGGAAACAGGTGGACACCTGAGGGCATTGATAAACTTGATGTAAGAGGGAGTCTGGCTGAACTTCTTCAGACAGGATCCCAGTCCTCATGAGAGCTAGCAAGAGTTATAGAAACTTAGTAGTTCATTTTCTGCCTTCCACTGCTCCAAGACAGTTGGCAATATTTCAGTCACCATTTCACATACAGGAAAGTGTTATATGGGTTGCCTGAGGTCACAAACCTGTCAGGGGGCAGGCGGAAGAGGCCATTGGACTGGTGGCAACAGGGCCGACCTGCTAGGTTTGTCTCCTTTTCTCTTGGGCCCCAGACCTTCCCTCAGGTTACCTTTTGCTCAGAAAGGTAATGTTGTGGTTTACACCCATCAGTGATAATCACAAACGGCCCTTAGTCGTCCTATAACCTGGGTCTGTTACTTTAGAGACATAGGGATTAAGAGGTCCCCGTCAGCGGTAGAGCAGGATTAGATCCAGATGCAGGGTCCTTCCCTCACACGCTGTACTCCCAGCTCATTTTCTTGCTCAGTGTCCTTCTTCCTGTCCAGGAAAAACATGTTCAGATTTCTGGGAGTAGAGAGATCCATGGGTTTAGAGAGATGGCTGTCTGCTTGGAAACTGATGACTGCTTAGTTTCCTCTTAATCTGGGAACTCTAAATAAAGCCAAGTATCTCTGAGCATAGGATCTAGCTTTTTGGGGCTTCTGGGTTCAGTGTCTCTGAATTGGTTCAGTGTCTCCTCCGTGGTCCTACTGACCACGGAGGAGACTTTTACATGATAGGCCCTGGCTCTGCCCAGAACTTCCCTCAATCTTGTTAGTGATAATAATGACCTCAGCACTTTCTCTTCTGAAGTGCCTTGACATTCACTGCCTTATTAGATCCTCAAAAGACCATCAGGACAGTTGTCATCCTCCACATTTTTCAGAAAAGCAAAGGAACCCCCCACCCCTGGTTTCACTTGCTTGCCCACAGAGCCAGTGAGTGGCAGAACCAGAGCTTAGCCAAAGGTTCAGAACCCTGCTGCTCCTACCCTGCCTGGCCCATGGGCCTACCTGCTGGTCTTTCTTTCTACCTGACCACCCAGAGCTTGGCCAGCCGGCTCAAGGAAAACATGGAGAAGCTGACTGAGGAACGGGATCAGCGCGCTGCAGCAGAGAACCGGGAGAAAGAACAGAACAAGAGGATACAGCGGCAGCTCCGGGACACCAAGGAGGAGATGGGTGAGCTCGCCAGGAAGGAGGCTGAGGCGAGCCGCAAGAAGCATGAACTGGTAGGCCTCCTGCTCCCCAGACCCCACAGTGGAGGCCCCCTGAGTAGCACTGGCTACACACCTCATTCTGGTCTAGGAGGTGGGATTGCAAAGACACCATGGTTCAGAGAATGGGAGTGGGGAGGAGCATGTCAGGAGGACAGTCCTGAGGGCAGGCTGGAGAGCCAAGGGTAGCACCCAAGTCTCCATCAGGTAAGGCCAGGCCCTACCAGCCCAGTGGCCCTGGAACTCACAGCCACACCCAGGTAGCTCCTGCCGGCTAAGAGAAACTTGCTGTAGACATCTATATCCACTGCCCAGCTCCCACTGGGCAGAGAAAGGGAAAAGAAGGGAAGGCTGGATTTCCTAGGCTTCTAACACCTGACTGTACAATACCCAGAGTCCCCACCTGAGGTGCCCACAAAGTAAATATCTGGGGCTGCTGGAGGAGAGAATGGCCCTCTGCACACTGGACTTCCCACCTTCCCTCCTAGGAGATGGACCTGGAGAGTCTGGAAGCTGCTAACCAGAGCCTGCAGGCTGACCTGAAGCTGGCATTCAAGCGCATTGGGGACCTGCAGGCTGCCATTGAGGACGAGATGGAGAGTGATGAGAATGAGGACCTTATCAACAGGTGAGGAGTGGCCTCTGTGGCATTACGGCCAGCAAGGAGGCCTTCTTGACCACCTCTGGAATGAGGCCCCAGGTGACAGTTGCAACCTCTGTGTCCCCCACCAAGCCACCAACACACCCTCCCCTTGCTATCAGATTCCAGCCTGGACCCTGGCCTGAGGGGCAAAGGGTAGGCTAGACGCTAGGTAAGGGGTCTCCTCTCCTTCTCTCCCCAGGCCTCTGAAGGACCTGGCTCTCTAGCTCTGCCTGTTCAAGATGAGTTATTCCCCCGTTTAGCTGTGTTTCCGATGGCGCCTGCCCCACTCTGGGGAGAGCAGAGATTTAAAGGCTGTGATGCCTTGTTACTGTGCCAGAGATTTTCTCCCATAAAACCCACCCAGGGAATGGCTTAGGAGAGAGAGATTTGTAGTCCCAGGCTGAGGAGAGAGTCACAAAGTGAGAAGACCAGCAGGGATGAGGCCAGGCCCTGAAGAAGCCCCCGAGGGACCTCAGACCTGCTCCTCCCACCTCCGGGCCAGGCCCCATCCTGCAGGCAGATCTAGGTGGCCCAGAGATCCAGCTCCTTGGGGTGGGGGATGGCTTCTAGGGTGGTCCAAGCCAGGTTCTAAGGACAACATTATCGCTCATGCCCTGGCCTGGTCTCAGCTAACCAGAGCCCTCTCTTGATGAGGAAAGAGAGGGCCTTGGCTGAGGGGCCCACCTCCATTTGCCCATTGATTTTTTTTCTGTCTTCCTTTGGCTTCCCTGCCCACTATTATTTTCTGTTTCCAGTTTGCAGGACATGGTGACAAAGTATCAGAAAAGAAAGAATAAACTGTGAGGACTGGAGCGCATGCGCTCTCTGCCTCTCCTGGCGGGTGTCTAACCACCCCTAACACGGGGTTCCCTCCAGGGGTCCCTGCTGCATGCCGCATGTGGACACACGGGTCTCCCCACACTCTCCTCCTTAGCTGGTCTCTAATGCTAACACTGCTGACTGTCCTCAGGGGAGGCGGGAACTGTCCAGAGGCAGAAGGCGGGCAGTGAAGCGTGCTCCTCGGAAGGATGGGGCACAGGATGGAGGGAGGATACGGGCAGGATGGAGGCCCCATCAGAAAGCAATGCTTCGCTTCTTGGGGCAGCACTCCAGCCTACCTTCCTCAGTTCCAGCCCTCCCTCCCTTATAGCCAAGTGTGCCCACCTCCCTTGCCTGTCTCCCTGGAGCGATGCCTGTTCTGGCTCAGTTTGTCTACATCCTTAGGCTCCTTTGGAGCCTGAGCTGCCTGAAAAGAGCAGTATGCTTCGTGTTTAAGGTCTGCCACCTTCCTTTGGCAGAGAAGGGTAAAGGTGAGGGGTATCCGAAACTGCTTGTTTGGAGAAAGCACTCAGGCAGCTAATCACTGGCCACTCTGCCATGGCAGGGGAAGGAGACAAGGCCAGTTGTATTTACTTTGCTTGCTGTGGGCACCTGTGACAGAGGCCCTGGGTGTCTGTTGGTGCTGTCTATCAGACAGTAGAAGCCAGGAAATCCACCCCTCTCTTCTTTTCTCTCTTTCTGGGTGGGAGCTGGACAGCAGATGCTGATGTGTAGGCCTTCAGGCAGATCCGGCTGATCCTCTGTCAAGTTCGACAGGGTTGTTTTTGGAGGTTGTTTTTTCAGCATGGCACTGGGTTTCCTCCCCCACTCTCTTGCCTGGCAGGCCTCCTCCCCTGGCCAGGATGGGCTGGCGGCCGTGCAAAGGACTCAGTGAGAGCTAATGATAAATGTAATAGTGTGTAACAGTGATAGAGGGCCGCTGGAGCCCAGTTGTCACACACAATTAATATCCCCCACCGTTCTGTCTCCGTTTGTTTGTTCCCCCGCGATTCGGCTCCCAGTTAACTAATAGCACATGAGCCTGGACATAAATTGTATTTGACACAAGGTTTAATTCCAACCATTTAAAATTTCAACTGCCCCCTGAGCCTGCCTGCCCCTGGAGTTTGTTTACGGGCCTGATTATTTAAGGAAAAGAACCCGAACATCATTTGGATGCTTGCAACTAAAGGGGAGGTGAGGGCAAGCAGGCCAGCCTCTCAACCCATTTGCTGTTCTGAATGTAAGGAGGAAAATTCGTATTCTGGGCCCACATCTATGTGTCCCATGTGTGTTCCAGCCTTGCCATCCTTGGGCAGTCGGAGCTTCAAGGGCTGATAAAATGCGCATTTAATATCATATTCCCAACCAGTGCCAGGCACACACACATTCACGCTTGTATGCATACACACACACACACACACACACACACGCCAGCATGCACTCAACGCAGGCGCACGGGAATGTGTGGTTCTGACTGGGTCCCGCTGATGGCAGAGAGGTGGTATGGTTCCTTTCTTAGCATCTCTGGGCCCCAGCTCCAAGTTATCGAGCGAGCATGCTAAGGCGGGCAGAAAAATAATGTTTCGATTTACTTAGAGATACAGTTGTTATTGCCATAACCTTAATGAAAGCAGTAAACAGCGCAGTATTAAGGGAGATTTATACAGAAACGCTTTTAACATGTAGACATAGATTTCGCGATGCATACAGCACCTCCTTTCTAAGGGCAATCAATACGGTTATGAACGGTGGTGATAAATTACCAGCTCTGAAGCTACAGAGGGAGGTTTTTTGCACGGGTGTATAAATCAGGTGGTATTGGCGTTCCATGGGGCCCATGCACCACAGTAAATCTGCCAGGCTCGGATGGGCACAGGGCTTGCATTAGCGGTTTTGGGGCTGTCTGCTAAACTCCTGTTTACCCGGGGCATCAGCCAGACTCGTCTTTGTTATAATTCTGTATTTGACGGAAGCCCATAAAATATGCCTCTTTATTCCCCTCCCCATGAGTCAGGCTCTCTCACGGTCCCCAGAACTGAGTCTGGTGGTTTCCTCTGGTGGCAGTGGTAGTGGTGTGTGTGTGTGTGTATGTGTGTGTGTGTGCGTGCGCACGCATGGGCTATGTGGCTATTTATTCAAGAACATAATTCAGGAACAGGGCCGCTTCTGTTGACACAGATGAAAGGAAATTTTTATCAAGGAGAAATCCCAGCCTATCTATAGCAGGGGAACTTGGTGGGCAGACATTTTGCAGAATTTGAAAGCATTCTCACTTAGAAGCTGTCTCTAAGACCCAACAGCTTCATGAGGGGGTCACCTGTGACTCCAGCTTCAGAATCTGCCTTGTTGGGGCTTTCCTGTAAGTCCTGAGGTCAGCCTGGCTAGAAGCTAGGGAGCAAGGGCCAGAGGCCGCCTGAGGGAGGGAGGAGGAGGCTTGGAGAATCAGATGGATGGCCTCCTTGTCATTTTCATTGGGTTGATCAGCTGAATAGCCTGGGACTTCCTGAGCCCAGTTGGGCTTCTTGGGGTAATCTGGATCCCGAAGCCTCTGCCGTCCCTAACCTGGAAGATGCAAATGTCTCCCTGTTCTCCCTTTTCTTTCTCTATTTATAAGGGCCAGGGAAGCCACAAGGTGGGTCTGGGATATGGCCAATACCTCCTTACCCTAGTGCCCAGGTTGGTATTACCAACAGCTAAGGAGACCTCCAGGTTCAAGCTAACTTGAAGTCATGTGAAACCCTTTTTTCCTACCCTGGGGCCTGCAGCTCATCTATAGTATGCATGCAGAGCCAGGTGTGGTGCCACATGTCTGTAATTTCAGTGACTTGAGATCACAAGTTTGAGGTCAGCCTTAGCAACTTGCCAGCCCTACGCAACTTAGCAAGACCCTGTCTCAAAATAAAAAAGGCTGGGAATGTAGCTCAGTGGTAAAGCAACTCCAGGTTCGATCCCCAGTTCCAAAAATAAACAAACAAATAAATAAAAACACACAGAACGACTGCAGCAGTAACCACCATCTAGGGCGGGGCAGACAAATAGCAGCACAGGACTCAAAAAACAGCTGAAGGGTCTTGATTTTAACCAAAAAGAGCCATTTGGATGTAATTGCTGATGGATGACCTCCTTGTCATTTTCATTGGGTTGTTCAGCTGAATAGCCTGTCACTGATACCAGGGATAGGGTTGTCTCCATGCTCTCAGGATCTTCTTGGTGTCTCTCATGCAGTGTGGCCTGCCAAGTGGGGACAGGCTGCTTGTGAGTGGTGTGCTGTCTAACCTTTCTGTTCTCCTCCCTAACTCACCAACATGCATGCTTCTCTTCTCCCACCCCTGCCCAAGACATACCCTCTCCCCCTTCGGCTCCCTCTCGTGGGCAGCAGGTGGTCACCACCTGCCTAGCCTTGCCTACCTTTCTGCTCCTCACACCTACAGTGAAGGGGACTCGGATGTGGACTCAGAGCTGGAGGACCGGGTCGACGGGGTCAAGTCCTGGTTGTCAAAAAACAAGGGACCTTCCAAGGCAGCTTCTGATGATGGCAGCTTGAAGAGTTCCAGGTGAGCACGTGGCCTTGAGCTGGGAGGAAAGCCATCCTGGGGCATCAGGAGTGACTGAGCAGTGCGTTGGTGTGGAGAGGGCAGGCCTCACACTATCTGTGTGGCTCTCCTGCTGTCCATATGAGAGGCTCGGTGTCTGCTGGCCCACAGAATAAGCACAAGAGGAGGCTGGCTTTTTAGCCAGGCGTGTCTCCCTTATTTTTCCCAGGTAATGTTTTCCTGCTAGATTCAGGGCTCGATAAACTTCACCCCCCACTTATTCATTCAACAAGTTGGATAGGGCTACATGATTGTTTGAGCCCTTGGAATCAAGACTGGGATGTGACACAAGGGATTCTGGACCCCACAAGCCTGCACAGGGGCACTCTGGATCTCTGCTATTCTGATAGGAATGGTATGAATAGGCACCAGTTCCTGAGTCCTGTCATTGCATGGGTACACTTCTATCTGCCCATTCTCTCCTTCCTCTAATCTCTGGCCCCCACAGGCTTCCTACTAACACCCATCCATAGGGACACTTGCACCCTATTTTCTAGCCAGTCATAGTCTTCTGATGGTATAGACAGCTACCGTAGGAAGCCAGGTCTCACCTTTCTCATTTCCTACTCACCAGCGTAGCTGCAGGCAGGAAGAGCCGTCCTCCTCTGCTCCCTCCTCTTTCCCTCCCATAGCCACTTCCCTGCTTGCTTTCTCTCTTTCTCACACACACACACCTCCCCCCCCCCCCATCCTTAACCTTCGGGGCACATCCTTCCCTAGCCTCCAACCCCAACTGGGTAGAAAAAGTAGTATTCCTCCCCCTTCTGCAACTCCCTGAGGCCCCGTCCCCAAGTCCAGGCCCTCACCACCAGTACCCAGTGGCCCCCTCTAATTGGTTTAATTTATTCGGCCAAACAGCATTGTGTTATTGCAGATAATGTCGCCTTCCCCCGCCCCACTGCCGTTCACCACAGTGTGGCACGAGGCTCCAGGTAGTTGACAATGAAATAAATTGAACTAAACGTTTTAGAGGGGGGAAAAGTGATGAAATAGAACAATAGTCTAATTTACATGACATTCTCCATGAAGCTATTTTCACTGACGCAAATTATTTTGCTTCATTTCCTCCAACGCTCTCACCACCACTTTGCCAGGGCTGCTGCGTTTTCTCCTCCTTTTGCCTCCCACCCCCTGTGTCTTTATTCTTGAGGTTTAATGCCTGTTCCTCTCTCTCTCTCTCTCTCTCTCTCTCTCTCTCTCTCTCTCTCTCTCTCTCTCTCTCTCTCTCTCTCTCCCTCCCTCCCTCCTTCCTTCTCTGCATCCACTCCTGGTTATCTCCTACCCTCCCCACTCAGAACGGCCCTCAACAGCCTCCCCAGGGATGCCAAGGGGGTGGAGGAGAGGCCAGCCTCGGTGCTGAGCTCACTCAGCTATCGAAAACGGCTGACCCTGAAGGACTCCATCGGGGGCACGGGGGACGAGGACTCACTCTTCACCACCCTGAGTGAGCGCGCCACCTCCCCAGAGAGGCCCCCCCGCAAAGCCCGCCAGGGTCCCAGGGAAGAGCCCGTCCAGGGCCGGAGGTCCAAGGAGCCTGATGAATGTGGCTCCATCTTTTCAGAGGTTGGAAGCCGTGCAGGCCGGGGGCTAGAAAAGCGGTGGGGTTCAGATTTTGACCGGTCCTCCACGGTCTCTGCTCCCGTCAGCCGGGCCTCCTCGGCCACACGGCGTGGCTCTGGGGAGGATGGGGCCCGTTCCGCCCTGAGCTTCTCGCTGTCAGGCTCACCCAGCTCCCGCCGCAGCACCTCCCGGCTTGAAGGCCTGGCCAGGACTCTCAGCCCATCCTGGAGCCGAGCCTCAGGCCTGGGCCTGGAGAGCCCTGACTCCCGAATGTCCCTGGGCCGGAGCTGCCTGGATGAGTGGGATGATGGAGCCAGTGTGGCCCTGAGCGAGGCACACTCAGAGTTCAGCCATCCATCGCTGGCCCGAAGTCTGTCCGTGCCACCCCAGCCACGGGGCTTGGCCTCAGCCACTGATGAGCCGCTCAGTTCTAGCGTCCGTCCTGTCAGCCGTCGCTCCTACCTGGACCCAGACCTGGAGGCTGCCATCAATGAGGTCTTGAGCTACAAACCTGTCCCATTCCAGAGAAGCAGCCTAGAGCCTGACTCTGAGGAGGACGATCGCAAGAGTATCCAAAGTGCCCGAAGCGCCCGACTGGGTTCCCCAGAACGTGGCACCAGCATCCGCCGCTCTGCCTCAGCTGCTGATGTCTCTAGGACGCGCAGTGGACACAAGAGCCGGAGCAAGCACAGGAGGAGAAGGAGCAGCTCCAGCTCCAGCTGCAGCTCCGAAGGCTCCTCAGAGCACAAGCGGAGGAGGAAGGGGCGCTCTCGGAAGAACAAGAAGAAGTCCAAATCGAGAAGAAAGAGAACCGAGACAGAGTCTGATTCCTCCTCATCCTCATCCAGTGGCTCAACGGTCTCAGGTCACAGTGGGTCAAGCGTGAAGAAGGGTCCTGCCACCGAAAGTGAGGAGGCGGGGCAGACGCTCCGGCAGTCGAGGAAGGAGGAGAAGAAGCGCAAGAAGGAGGTGGACAGTCTGATGATGCGGTACCTGTACCGACCTGAGAGCGACTAGTGTAGTAGGTGGCATCTGGCGTGGAGTGCAGCATGGTGTGTCCCGCTCAGCACAAACTAACTTGCTCCCTTCCCTACCTGCCACCTTCTCAGGTCCTATGTGCATTCCTCTTGGTCTGGCCTGGCCTTGGAGAGCCTACATGTGGCTACCTCAGAGAGCAGGGACCAGCTAAGCCGGTTAGTCACTCCAAACCCTGAGCCAGTCTCTCAACTCACTGGTGATGTGGATTATAGCTCCTACATACCAAGTCCTTACCCTGGACCAGGGACTGTGATATTCTTTTTTATCTTTTTTAGTTGTAGATGGACACAATACCTTTATTTTATTTATTTATTTTTGTGTGGTGCTAAGGGTCAAACCCAGTGCCTCAAACATGCTAGGCAAACGCTCTACTACTGAGCTACAACCACAGCCTCCCATGCTTTATTCTTGATCCTCATGATAACCTCATGACAAAGATGTGAAAAGCCCTGTTTCAGAGAAGAGAAAGCCGAGGCTCAGAGAAGTTAAGTCACTTACCAAGGTCACACAGGTGGGAACTGATATTGTCAGGAGCCGAATGGCATGTGTTTAACTCCAACACTCTTGCCCTTAACTACTTCTCCATTCAGTTCAGTGCAGAGCACGTGGGCAACGTGTGAGTGCCAGACAGCACCTGTTTGAGAGCTATTGTTCATGTCCCCATAGGGCTGGGCCCAGAAAAGGGCCCTCCCTGACTGATACCCTGGCTGTGGGTTGGTGCATCAGTGGCCACTAGCTCTTATGTGGCCTTTTGGTCTGCTCTCCCCCCAGCTCCCAGAGCCACCTTCCTCCCTGGCATGAATCTCAAGTCTGGGAGGACAAGGGTCAGAAGGCTGCAGCCCACACTGCACCACACCCTACAGCAGACCCAGGAGGTGCCCGATGCCCTCCCCAACCCTCCCACCTGCAGGCAGCCCACACATGGGCGTCACTTCTGTTCTGCTCATCTTGTAAAGTTCTAATGAATAGAAATTAGCAGCTGCTGAGTGACAGCCCCCTCCTGGTTCTCCTGCCTCCCCTACCTCCCCCAGCTCTTCTCCCTGTGGGGAGGGAGATCTAGCAGTTAGGCCCATTATGCCCACACCCCCACTATGGAAGAGAGGCAGAGCCTGACTCACTGGGATCCCATTGTTGCCAGTTACCCTGGTGGGCGGTGACATTTTAGATCATCCTGGTAATATGAAGCTGTTTTTGACATGGTACCCTCCCAGGATAAGCTTACTGCTTCCCAGGAGGTATAACCCCAAAGTGTACCCCCCTGAGGCTCAGGCAGTTGTTCCCCAGATGCATGAACTAACACACACCTGTTGCATGCGTTTACTGTGAAGCAGCTGGGCAAATACTGACTTTAGCTTAGTTATACCAAAGGGGTTCAATGGAAGGTCCCTTTAAGGAATGGAACAAATAGAAGTGCAAGTTACCTTAGGCAATGGAATGGAATTGGGGGAGTGGATGGAGTGATGGAACTTGAACCCAGATCAGGCTCAATTCGTTCCTTGGGCATGAGCTGCTCTGAAACCCTTGGGCTCAGCTCTGCTCTGTCACTTTCCCCATGTGGCAGATGGTTGCAGGGTGCTTTGTAAAGCATCTCAATTGCGTTAGGGTCTCCTTGTCAGCTCCATTGTGGGAAAAAACAGGAGTCAAAATATTTGGCCTACTATTTCAGCCTTCCCCTTAGCAGCCCTGCTAAGTGCCCCAAACCCCCATGGCAGGAAGTCAGTGGGTGGATGGAGGAGGAAGTCTAGAAAGCATGGAAGGCCAGGCCCTTCTGTGTATTGCACCCGTTCCCAGAGGAAGACACAGGCCATCTCACCAACTGGTGGGCAACTAGCATATTTCAGACCCTAGTGCCCTCAGCCCACCGTCACCCTTGACCTGAAAATCATTAAGAACAAAGACACAGAAAGCTTCTTTCCTCCTCCACCCATCAGCTCAGTTCCTCTTGTCCAACTAGAAGCCGGAATAGTCCTGAAACCCTCTCCTCAGGCTCTGAGGAGGATTGCATTCACTGTTGGTAGAGTGGCCCCCAGCCAGAACCTAGCCAACCAGCACGGAGCTAGAGAGAAAAAGCAGCAGAGGGAGGATCTCCCTGGCACTCAGCATTAAGTGGCTTTGGGGTGAATACTCTGCCAGGGGTGAGGGTGGGAGTGGGACAGGACAGAGACAAAGCCAAAGCCAAAGCCAAAGCTTAGCTTCCCATCTGGTGATGAGGAACGAGAATTCGGAACACGGATTCAGCATCCATAGCAAAGTCAAGGGGAGGGGAGCTGACACCCTGGGCTCTCCCAGCGGGAATTAGGTTATGTACCAAATTGTTTGTGACATTGCTGAGCAGGAGACACTGGCTTGTGGAGAGGAAAGCTTTTTAAACAATTTGGTTAAAATGTTCCAATTGCCAGCCGTGACTCTTGCCCTGGGGAGGAAGGGAGCTGCCTGCTGTTGGCCCGTTGATGGCTGTGGCCGTATAAGCTACTAAGGAGACTGGCTAAAGAGAACCCAAGGAAGAACCAAACAGAGATCTAGTGCATCATCCACAGCCCAGGCAAGACAGAGACGTGGGATTTACCACCTCTCCAGCTGCTACCGCCTCTGCCTATCACCTCGACAGAACAGCGTAGAAACCTGGCTGTCATTTACCCAGGTGTCTGAATGTGGGAGTGGTGAGGGAATGAAGAGGAGCACAGGGCTGCAATTGATTCAGAGGGCTGGGCTCTCCAGCAGTGCCTCATTTGCATCTGGATCCCAGCCCTGGCATCTATCTCACCCCCTCTGCCCACAGAATAACTCCACTGTTTTTCCTCAAAGCCAGGCCTTCCTTTTCCTAACAGCAGATCTTTAGCACTGGGTGCCCAGAAATTCTGTATAAAAAATGAAAACAAAACCCGGCTCCCGATAATGTAGAATTCAAACAACCCCAAAGCTACAATAATCCCCACCCCCGTTTTTTTTTTTTTTTCCTGTGTTGTACAGCCATCATTGAGTTTCACAATTTTGTCCTAGAGTCACCTCAGAGTCCTTTAGTACCTCTGCTCCATCAAAATAAGACTCATTTATGTTCAATGTAGTTTGTACTAAGTGTGTTTTGTGCTATTCTGATTCCTTTAAAAATGTTAATTCATTCATGAGAACTAGAATAACTATTAGCCAGACCTCCCCATTCCTGAGCCATTTTGCATAATTGAACATATATTCTCTCAGGCTCTTCGGGGAGGGGAAGAGAGCGAGATACATGTCTTTTACACCCCTTGGACACTCACTCAGGCCAGCAGGAGAATGCAGGTTTGATCTTGTTTTCTTCTCAGGTATCTAATCTAGCGGCAGAGTGGAGTTTTCTCAAGGCTTTGAAGTTCAGGTTCAGGTTTACATCCTGACTGTGTGACCTTGGGCAGGATGCTTCATCTCTTTGAACCAGCTTCTCCATACCAACCTATAGGGTTGCTGTGCAGAATAAGACAGCATATCCAGGGGGCCTAGGCCTGTGTCTCATACAGAAGAAGATCCAGTGATGGAATTCTTTCTTCTGGATCGCTCACTGACACCTTGGGGGAAGCTAACAAAGTGACTTTTTCTCACAGAACCTTGTTTCCTCCGATAGAACTTTAAAAGGACCAGTAAATCAAGGGCCTTCCCCAGATTCTTAAATCAGAATTGCAGGCAATAGAGATCATGGAATTCCTGTTTGCCCAAGTAGACTATATCTAGGATCTGTAGGCAGATCTGTGTGCCTCTGTCACTTGGAGCAGTGGGCAGGGCAGCAGTTCTAAGGACCCAGCCGAGAGCAGGGACCCAGTAGGAGTGGTGTCACACTGGGCTATATTTTCTAAAATGGTGTTGAAATTACAGTGCACTTTAATAGTCAGGAGGGGAAGGTAGCTCCTGGGCCTTGGGAAATAAACAAAAAAGAAGGTGAATGGAACTGGGTAGAACATGATCCCATCTTTCCTTGTGAGAGGTCATGATCCTGCTTCATCCAGTGGATAATGCTTCTTTATATCTTCAGAGAGACAGCTGGAGGCTTCCAGAGCCAGGGACCTGATGAAGACTCAATGGGATTATGAGATTTTTTTCCATTGAGCCACCCTGAAACAAAGGTCTTGGCAGCCTGATTCCTGAGGCTTCATTCCTTATTGTTAACAGAGGATGCCATGATCAACAGTAGAAGTTCCCATAGGCCTTAGGAAACCCTGATTAGGAGAAAAAAATTCAGATCTGGGAATATTCAATGGGGAAAGCTCCTCTTTCTTAGAAGCCATCTTTTTTTAGAATAACTTGCTTAAGAGAGCCCCTACCTTAGCCAGGCTGTAAGCATCCAGTCTCCATCACTGTGGCTCATGGATGGCCTGCATCAGAATCTTCTGGGGAATAAGCTGAAGATGGGAACCCCTGGGTTCCACCCAAGAGCTATCAAGTCAAAAATTTTAAGAGGAAGGACCCAGGACTTTGTAGGCGATTCTTATACCCACTCACGTCCCAGACCTCTGCTGTCCAGTACCCGTGTCCTATGGGTTTTTAAAGGTCTCAGAGTTGAACTGGTGTGCTCCTTTCTCTAACTATATTGAATGTCTTCTAGGTGAGCCAAGAAGTCTTTACCTAGCAACGTCTGGTGTTTGGAGTGCTCTAACGGGGATTTGGTACTCCAGGGTAGAAGTGTCCTTTGTCCTTGACCTTGTCCTTACTCCTCTCTCCCTGCAGCCCCACCAGCCACTGGAAGCCCCTTCCCCCTGACCGATCCGATGATGAGCACGACCCTGTGGACGGCACCTCCAGACCCCGATACTCCCACAACTGTCTGAGTGACAGCGATACAGAGGCAAAGCTGGCGGAGACCAATGCATAGCCCAGGGGAGTGGCTCTCAGCCCTCACACCCCACAGCCTCTGCCTGCCTGGGCATCTCTCCCAGGAACCAGTGGGGCACTGGTCCCCCCCGCTGACTGCTGATCTGCATGGGAAACACCCTGACCCTCCGCTATCAGGGGGACTTTCCAGGCTGTGGGTGTCTGACATCCCCACGTGGAAGAGGTGGGAGAAAGAGGAGTTTCTGAAAAGAGAACTTTTTGCTCCTCCCTGCCTCAAAGATGCCACACTCTTGGCTTCTACCCAGGGCCACCATGGTCAGTGGCAGGTGGCCTGGCACTGCATGGAGCCAGCAAATTGACCTCCATCTCAGCCCCCTGCTCAGGGATGATGGACAGATTGCCTACTGGGCCACTCAAGGTTGCTGGGTCCATGGGGAGGAGTCGGGGAGGGAACAGCAATTCCTTCCCACTGGTTTGGGACGAGGGCTTTCTCTTCTCAGTGCCTGCTGTCTTTTTACTTCTTAATTTAAATATCCAACTTCTCCATCACGGCCACATCCCTGAGAGTGGGAGCCGGCTGCAGTGGCAGCTGGGGCCCCTAGGAACAACTTGGAAATCTCTTCATCTCCACTTTTCTGGGTGCAGTCCTTTCTCTGTGCAGCCAGGGAGACTGGTGAGCAGAGCTGGGGCCAGGTTCTTAAGAGTCAGTGTGTGGAGGGGCTGCCAGGTGCTTCTGGTTGGGCTGAGCAAGCCTCCACAGATGGGGTACATAAATGCCATCGAATTTCCAGCCCCCACCCACCCTCTCCATCTCATCAGTGCGTTAAGTGCAATGACCTATTTAATAGTAAACCCATTCCACCTGCACCAGCTTGGGGACTTGTCCAAGCCCTGCCTCCCTCTACTCTGTACCAGTTGCCTGGGTCATAAGCTCAACTTGAGAAGAAAGGCCTGGGGTTGAGGGCTTGTGGTCAGAACCACTGAAGATGGGAGTGTCCGTTGATACTAGTGTGTGTCAGACACAAGTCCTCACCCAGTGTCCTGAGCTGGTATCATCTCCCTGCCCCCCCACACTTATCCCAGACCTGGAAACAAGCGGTCCCAGCCCCCTCCAAAAGTTATCCCCTCAACTCCGCCAGACTTGGGGGCCAAGGGCAGTGCCTGGAGCTGCTCCCATCTGCTGTCCCCATTCTCTCCTGCAATTGGTTTGTACTCACTGGGCTGTGCTCTCCCCATTTACCTGATGTATGGAAATAAAGCCCCTTTTCCTCCTGGCTATGCCAGTTTTCCTGCCTCTTCCTTCAGGCCCAGGGAAAGTCCCTTGTGATCACAGGGGTGAAGGCAGAAGCAGGACTATTGGGGACACCAGAGAGTCACCTTGTTCTCACCTTCTCCCATGTCAGATTGTGCCACCCAGAGAACCCTGGCAGGTCATCTGGGGCAGGCAGGATGAGGAAATTAGGAGATTAGTCGAGGATTACACAACCCCAACTTTTGCACTGAGAGCCTGTGGATTGTAATTCAGGTTGGCAGAGTTGTCCAAGCCTCATCTCCTCTGGCCTCCATGAGGAAATATTATTGTCCACCAGCTGCAGGGATTTTATCTTCTCTTACCTTTTTTCTTTTTTTTTATTCAAGCCCTTTTTAAAAATTTGTTCTAATTAGTTACACATGACAGCAGAAAGCATTTCGACTCACTGTTTGCAAATGGAGCACAACTTTTCATTTCTCTGGTTGTACAGGACACACAGTCACACCATTCGTGCAATCATACATGTACATAGGGTAATAATGTCCATCTCATTCCACCATCTTTCCCACCCCCGTACCTCCTCCCCTCCCCTTACTCTGCCCAATCCAAAGTGCCTCCATTCTTCCCTTGCCCCTCCCCCATTATGGATCAGCATCCACTTATCAGGGAAATCAAGCCCTTCTTAAAGCTTAATTTTAGCCATTCCAAAGGTGACTTTTTGATCAGAACTCTGGCCCTCAATCCCCCTTGGCCACAAGGCAACTTGAATGGGCTGAAAATGCTGTCTTCTTCCCTGCCCACATGCCCTAGTCCATGCCTTGTCCCCAGACTGATAGCTAAGAGTCTCCTCATGCACAAGGGGGAGAAACGACACCCACTTGTTCCTCTTCTACCTTCTGTAATGTGGCCAGTTATAATCACTGCAGGAATCAAGTGCTTTGGCGTGGAAGCAGGAAGGGTATCAGCCCTCATGCTGAGGCTCCAATGATGTCAGTCACCCAGAAAGTCAAAAAAGGGAAGGAGGAAGAAAATTCAGAAAATGAGCAGGAGAGAAGTATGAAATGGATCCATTTTGAACAATAGAGACTTTCCCCTCTGCTGCCTCACAATAGAGAGGAGAAGGTAGTAAAAACAAAGTTGTGGTTTTTTTTTCCCCCTTTAACTGCTGGTTCATGTTCAGTTCTGTCATTCACATCTTTTACTCCTGCTGTAAAACAGGTGCATTTTCTGTTTCTCCCAGGAGATAGTATGACCAACTCCCTACCACCTGCCCAAAAGTTCACCAACACCAACTCCAGATTCTGGTTCACTGGAAAGTCCAACCTCAACCTCCATTGCCTGGTTTGGAGTAAAGGACTTTGCTAAAGTTAGAAAACTTGGATTATTCATTTATTCATTTGCTCACCAGTTGAGAAATATTTCATAACTGCCTACTGTGCTCTAGGCATGGCCCTAGATGCTCAGGATGGATAAATCCCTCCCTTTTAGTAGAGGAGTCAGAAACACAAAATATGCACTACACTTGCTAGTATGTGCAAGTCTTAAGTGGGCAAAGGCTTGTACAAGGAAGACCAATGTGGAATAGACTATAAGTTCAAATAAGTTGCTTTGGGCATGTTATATACAGAGATATTCTCTTTGGGAAAGGGGGACTGGAAAAGATTCTAAAAGGAGCTGGTATTTTGGACTGGGACTTGAAGACAGGATAACACTTACACAGGTGGATATTGCTGGGACAGGCCATGTTGGGATGAAAGAAGATTTAAGACAAAATTTTTTTTTTTTAGTTATAGATGGACAGAATGCCTTTATTTTATTTTTATGTGGTGTTGAGTATTGAACCCAATGCCTCAAGCATGCTAGGCAAGAACTCTGCTGCTGAGCTATAGCCCCAGCCCTGGAAGAAAGAGGATTCTATGCAAAGGTCTTGAGTTTGAGAAAGATAGGCAGTGGTAGAGCATGCTTCAGGCTATCTGGGGAAGCCAAAGGACATCACCTCATATGACCAATCTTTCTCAAAGCTTCAGTAAAACTCCTTAGCCAGGGTGCTAGCCTTTAGGCTGGGAAGAAAACAATTCCCTTGGCATCAGCAACTCCCCAGAGGAGTCCTGGGACCTACAGGGCTACTGAAACCCATCTTCATTTGGGGTGCAACTTGAGAGCTCTATTAAATTCCTGCCCTCACCTGTACAGTCACGGTAGCTGTGGTCCCTAAGATGTGTGTGATTCCTGTGAAACAAAGCAAATCTTTCCCTGCTCCAGGCTCAAAGCTGCCCTACTAGATCCTCCTTTCTAATTGCAGATCCTCAGGATTGCTTTCGCTCCTAAATAGGAGGCAAGGATGGGAACTAAAGCCTGTAGGACTCCCCGTAGTGTCTAGAGAATACAGAAGCAGGCAGTGACCCCAAAATTGCCTCCTTTTGTCCTTGCATCCCCTTGGCAGATTATCCCAGTTGTCCTTCTCCCATCCCCCTCCCCTGTGCCTGGTGGCACAGACACTTAGCGATTTGCTCCTTAATTGTCCCCCAGCTAGGCTGCGCAGATGCCGCTCTTTAATCTCTCCTGATAAATGAATCGCGCCGCTCCTTTAATCATATGTTCATATCCAAGCCAATTTGAATCAATTTGGCAGGGAGCGTGTTGCAAGAGATGCCATGACTGCTGTTTCTCCCCCAGGGCTCTGGAGCCAGAACGACTGCTGTCCACACCCTCAGTAAAGAGCCCAGGAGACCTGTCTGGAGGAAAGATCTCCCACCTGAAAGGTGGAGACTTTTTAAAGTCATTTCATTCATTCCTGTTCTAAAAGCAGGCTGTAGGGACTAGAAGATGGATTCCCAAAGGCCTCAAAAGTGGAAGGGAGGGGGATGAGTCCACAGCCTTCCTTGGTCACTGAATAAGGGGTCCCATTATCATCCCTGGGAGAAACTGCTGCCTTAAATCTAATGTTAATCCTTCCTGTTCCCCTTTCATTTCCTCTAAGCTGGTTCTCAGGGAAGATGGAGCAGTTCATCACAGCAACACATTCCAGACCAGTCTAGGATAATTTGTTCTTGCCTACAACTGGTGGCCAACCCAACTCCTTTTATCTTCCCCTAGGACATGTTCTTTCCTGACACCTCCAGGCAGATGGGCAGTTGGGGACATGCTTGGAGTGTACCAAGTGCTACTAGGTTTGGGACTGCTGCTTTTGCATGTCTCACATGGGGTTCACATGTAGTAGTGAAAACAAAGCAAAAATACAAAACCTGCTCAACTGAGGGTTTCTGTCACTAGCACTGTAACCTTGGGCTAAACCTCTCTGTGGAAAACAAGGTGATATTGCTGACAAGAACCTTTGCCTCCTAAGTCCAGAGCTCCTTACTGCAGCCAATAGAATCTCCTTCATCGCCATCGATTACTCCAACCCTTCATCGCCTGGTAAGAGCTAGAGGGACCCACGGTTGGCACCAGTGGAGCTGAGAGTTCTGAGATCCCAGTTCTAGGAGAGGAACACCTTCTCCCAGAATATGGTCTGTCTGGGGTCGGTTTCATCCAGCTGCCTTTTTGTACTTTAGCATCCTCTTGCATTTCCTAGTCTCATTCCCTGCAGTGGCAGGTGGGCCCAGCCATTATCAGTGAAATCAAGAGATCTCTAGCATCTTCATGTGCAAGTCCACCACCTTTGGAACTTTGGAATCCAGCAGCCTCAGGATCTGTGGGCTTGGAAGTTCTTCCCGCCCTTCCCAGAAGCCATGCCCCTTAAAAGGGCAACAGAACAGTAGTTCTGTCCTGAACTGATGTTA